AAAATATATGTATCGTATTGGTCCATAAGCAGTTCCCAAAAGTGACCATTTATAATTCTCGTCAGGATATAACAGTTTTAAATAATTCATTATATATGAAAATTATATTTGAAATAATCTCAGCGATTGAAATTTAAATAATTCCAACGTTTCGTCCAGCTAACTTGTCTGGACTTTTTCAGGGTAATAAATAATGTTTTCACAGGAAAGATAAATTAATTAACGAATCTCGCGGCGGGAGGGATCGTGGAGGCGCACTGCTGAGGAGTCCCACACTAGGACGAAACGGCCGTCCAGTGCTTTCAGGTTTTCCATGGTGGTCTAGCTTCGATTGATTCATGATTTCAACCAGTGAAATTTCTAAAATCTCCACAAAACCCCTTCTGATAATTAACGGTTGGTTGAAAAATTTAAATGTACTTCATAATCCTATAAAGTTTTCTTACCAATGTATGAAATGGTTCATAAAGGAACTCACTTTATTTTTTTTCTTCTGAGACTGAAAACATAGTTATATCATACCACTCAATCGTATTCTATTGATTTGTTAAGAAAAAAATGTCATCACTTAATATCATCGATAAACATTTGTACTCGTTATTGACAGTGTTAATGTTTATATAGTAGAATTTATAGTTTTTACCATTACATTTGCTTCAATAGAATCAACTATTTTTTTTATTTTACACAAATAAAGATCAAGTTGAGAATGAAAAATGTAATTTCGAATCTTTAAAGTTTAAAGTTAAATTTTATTTTTACAAAATTTATGTTTCCAGTTGCTTATGCTTTGAAACTTATGAATATTTATGAATCCCTGTAATAAGTTCTATTATTATTATTGTTATTATTATTGGCCCTCAAATACCCTGGTACGGCTAAGGGTAGGGACAGTTAGCTCTCCCTCTCGAAATGCTCTCATATGACCACAAGTATGCAGCTACTGCCAGAGAAGTCCTACTCACTACCTTCTCGTGGCGGGGATGTTGCTTACGAAAAGAGGATGAAAAGCGGATGTCTGGCACCTTAACCGGGTTAGTGGATATGGAGAATTCACCTAGGAGAGTAGGAAAACTCTAATTCCAAACCAGTGGGGCACATGGACTCCAGGATGCTGAAGGAACAAATGGCGTATGAACCAATTGTTAGTCACCGGCTACCATGAGACTGCATCTCCTGACGTTGCTCCACTGCCTTGTGGATTAGACCTTTAGGTCGAAAGCCCCGGGTATAGCCATTTAAGAAAACCACCTGATTCGGTTTGGGCATCCGGGCATTATCACAGCTCACACACAAATCAAGTGACTTGTGTGGCGCATATGTATTCGGTGCCCCTTTGTACCAATATATATGTGTTCAAATAAATAAACAAATCATAATAATAATAATTGTTATTATTAGAAAATAATGATAATAATAATAAAGCAATAATTTGCCTGAAAACTCAATCATCTTACTGAAGCTGATCTATTTATAAGGATGCTTAAAAAATGAAATCAACAAATAGATTATTAATGATAAATTTATAATGAAAAATAGCACTCTATATTAACTGAGTATAAGCTTTGCTTACTGAAATTAGAACTTTCTAATGACTGGCTTCATATCCTCATTATTATGTGGTTTTCATTACATTCAATGATAGGCATTCTAAACTGCATGACAAAATTACTTTTAAATTCTATTTCTCCTTTTCTTCACTGTTGGTTTCAACTATGAATGTTTCTTCTTGAAGCTTCTTCGATTTAAAACAGCTCCTCTGATTCGAAAGATCACGTTTTATTTAATATTCGTTTTTGTCACTATTGTTTGATGTAGCTGTGTGTTGTTATCTGATCATTAGTACTCATTGTTCATTTTTTTGGAACCATTTATTTGCACGACACATTATCTCACTAACTATTCATTCAACAAGTATGATTCACTTCCAGACACATTAAAATCTCAGGAGGGGTTTTTGTGGATATTATGGTAATTTTAGTAGTTGAGATCATCAGGTCCTGGGTTCGAATCTCGCGAGGCAGGTTAGTGGATATTCACTGCTAAAGAGTCCCACAAAAGGATGAAACGGTCATCTAGTGGTTCCAGGTTTCCATGGTGGTCTACCTTCAATTGTCTCATGATCTCAACTACTAAAATAAAATTAAAATTTGGTGTTTATGAACTTATATTTGTTACTTTCTTCATACTAGTACAGTGTTCAACATAAAACTGATCTTTTTAACTGCTATATTTTATATATAATTCAATCATCTGGTTAATGTTGTCAAATAGGTTCTTTATCCATTTAACGTTTAATCAATGGAAGTAAGCAACATATCTATCCGTGATAGATCTATACAGATTTGAACATCTGGAAATATAGGGAAAATTGGAGACTCGACTTCATAATAAATTCCATAGATTTTGAACAACCAATTAACAACTTTTCCGGATATATTCATAAATGTCACCTACTCCTTTTTTGAATCAGATGCGTAATTTGTTTCATAAACGTAAAATGTATGGTTACATACAAGTCAATAGAACTTGGTCATTGTGTATTTAAATATCAAAGTATATCTGAGATGATAAATATATCACAGTTACAATATATCTCACATTTCAGTATTATACTACTAAAGTAGTATATTTATAGGTATACCGATCATAGCATACAATTCTTGGAATTAAAGCTAAATATATCCGATGAAACCACTAGGGTTTTAGGTGACTAGGGTTTCGCATTATCGGTTAGTTGATAATGTTATACAACACGCCTTAAAACAAGAAAAAAATCTACTGAGTTAAGGATACTTCATGGTCATAAAATAAAGCACAAGGTTTATAGAACTAGAAATCATATTATTTCTGTGTCACACTAAAATTGGTATTTGAACAAAGTGAACATTTAAGTTCTTATTGCAAGATGAATCTATTCATCATAATGTTTTTTTATATTGTTTGAAGTTGGCTAGACATTCAGTCAATCAGTCAGTTACAACGTAGGACCAGGCACGTATATGAATCGGTCCAAGTAGCCACACCTCATTAGCACAACAAGATGAACACCGGATTCATAGAAGTAGTTAAAACAATGGTGGAATTATATAAAAGAAAGATTGAATACAAGGATGTAGTACGAGAAGAAAGAATTAGTTCGTAGAAAGATATAAAGCAATTTTAATCTTATAGTTTAAGGGAAGACAGTGAGTGTATACACCGACTTTATTGTGATCGATTCTGAGCCATATCACTCGGAGTCTCCAACCATTGGTCACGATAGTCATGCGGACCCCAAACAAGTAGTCTGCATCTATCAACATGGCTCAGACTAGAAGCTAGTGACTTTATGAGATCATGCCACGTTTTGGTTTGGCCGCCACTAACTATCTTTCAACTGTCTCCAACACTAGTCAACATTGCACGTCGTGGTAATCGGTGTTCAGGCATACGCAGCACGTGGCCCAACCATCTCAGTCGATGAAGATTTACAACCTCATCAACTGATTTACCATCATTCCCTAATATCCTGCGTCTAACCTCACTATTACTTACCCAATGATCCCAGCAGATCCGAGCAATATTTCTAAGACATTTGTGATCTAATACTAGTAGCTTACGAGTATCTTCTACTTTTAATGGCCACGTTTCGCAGCCGTAAAGCATAACAGAACGAGAAACCGCGTAGTATACTCGTCTCTTAATTGATAGACGTATATCTTGCCTTCGCCATAGGTGACGTGAGTTGACAGAAGCCAAACGAGCATTCTGAATCCGTGAAGAGATCTCATCAGCCACCAATCCATTAGGGGTGATCAAACTTCCGAGATAAGCGAAGTTGTCGACGCGTTCGACTACTTCACTTCGTATCCTTAGTTCAGGCGTTGACGCAGGTCAGTCCTGAAGCAACAACTTTCATTTAGATGAGGAGAAGCGCATCCCAAGCATTCTGGCATTTTCGCTCAGTGCTACCAGATGACTCTGAACTTTATCAGCATTTTTACCAAGCAGGACTATGTCATCTGTTTATTCTAAGTCAATAAATTGTTCCTCCAGTAAGAAATTAATGCCCGAAAATTCAGTCGATGAGAACTTTATTTCCATCGGTAGGTCTATAATGAAGTTAAACAAAAATGTTAAGAATGTGTCTGGAAATATCACATACTTCGAATAGCTGAAACCTCTACTTGTCCCATGATCTGTATAGGTCATATTGAAAATAAAATAGATAAAAGATGTCTGTAACATGAAAGCTGATCCAATCTAGCAACACAGACTGATGAACAATACAAAACAATACCTAGAAGATGACAACACAAGTAAGGTGACGAAACGTCTAAAATATCGTTTGTACCTCAAGAAAATTTAGATTCAAACCTGCCAAACATGATAACCTGTGAAGATCAACACTGTTAGGTATAAAGGAAGTACTCTACGAAGAGAATGGAGTATGGTTAGATTTATGCACCACCCGATCTCGGATCAGTAGTATAGAAGTTAGGTACCGCAATGCTGGCAACGCTGCGTAAGATCCCAGATACAGTTCCATGGGTGTGCAGTTCTGAAAAGTATCATACTGAGAAGAAAAGTCTGTTCAGTACTTCCAGGTTTCCAATGTTTGTCTGTTTTAGATCAATTAGTGCTATGAGTAACTTTCTAATCTCTTAACTGGATGTCAACTTTTAGATTTGAAAGTAATGTATTAGTCGCGAGATTTGACAGTTTCTAATTAACCTCTTATCAGGATTATTAGATATTCATTACTGTAAATTCATACACTACAACTAAATTACTATTCAACGATCCATGATTTTCAATGATTGTTGTAAGTATTATCATTATGTTATGTATACTATACTGTTCTCGTTTTTTTTCTCCATGTTATTTACTATATATTTATTTATCTAAACTATGTAATGTTGTCCTGTGTCAACAATATCTGTTGTATTGTTTTAGCATCTAGTTTCAAAACTAGTTGTTAAAATATCACGTCATATTTGAAATAAGTATTTATTTTTTCAAGGAAAAAAAAGAAACTCATCTTGTACACATTATTCTGTGTACACAATCATCTATTAACAAAAAAATACTATTAAAGCTAATTCATTTTGTCAGAATACCATGAAAGTTTATTCATTCAGATTTGAAAATTGAAATTCATTAAGATGAAAACATTTTTTATTGGTATAATTGGCATTATCAGTTTGCTCATTTCACAAGGTGAGTATGAATTCAATGAAAGAATAATTTTAGTAGGGGTTTTGTTAGATATTATAGTAATTTCAATAGTTGAGTTCATAAGTTAATTGAAGCTAGACTATCATGAAAAATCTGGAAGCACTAGACAACCATTTTGTTCTAGTATGGTATACGCACTGTTGAGGAGTCACACAATAAGATGAAACGGTCATCCAGTGTTTCTAAGTTTTCCATGGTGCTCTAGCTTCAATTGACACATGATCTGAACTATTGAAAGAATAATCTATTGTATTGTATACTTCTGAAGATATCTTAGTATATTAAATATTTTTCTATTAATGATATGTAAACTTTCATAAAATGATGAATTTTATAGAATATTTTTTGGCTTAAAAGAGTTAATAACTAAAATGTATATTCTTTTATAAGATTGTCATGACAACTATACATGCCAATAACTAAGAAAAAACAAGTCTGATATCAATAACTATGATTATTTTATGTTTTCTGATCCAATAATGTAGATTATAATATCTATTCTATTTTATTGATTTCTTTTCAAAGTTAACACCATTGAAAGAGTATAATAATATAATTTGTTTATGAATAAATGACAACATTTTGAAAAAGAGATATAATGAATATTTTGTATTTTTGAAGATCCAGTACTACTCTGTTTACAACAACATTGTTGAATTATTCTATACTTTGATTAGAATTGCTGTTGTTAATAGAATGAAATTTAATATTCAGTTGAAATAACTAATAATGGTGAAACTATAATTTATGGGTGACTTTTGAGCTAAGCTAAACTGACCTTGAATGTCCACCTAATATCTACGATGAAATGAGGGTTCTAAGCATGTGTGAGGAATTAGAGTTATATTTTACAGTTGACGATTAACGTTAGGAATTAAATTTTTGGTTTTCATCACGAACTGACATCAACTAAATGTCAAAACTATTTAACCAAATTGGATGAGTGAATTTCGCGTCAATATCAGAAGCTTATTATCATATACCTTATTGGTTCGTCCATAAATTATAGTCTCGCTCTAATAACTAGTTACTTTTCGTTGGTGCAGTTAAACCTATGGAGCCATTAAATGTTATGAATGTATAAATGACTATAAGTGCTTTCTCCTAAATACGTTATATTGTCAGTGGATGATTTATTAACTGATTAGATAGAAATGTCTAACTGTTCTTTACGTTTGGGTTGTCAAATTAACACTTTAATGTAAAAAACTCAGATCATTTTAAGTTTAATCTTCTTTATAGATTATAATCATAAATAGAATTTTTAAGGATATTTTGTAAATTGATTCATAACCATTTAGTCTAATACAGTAAGTGTAAGAAATTTTAAAAAGCTGATATTTAACATATTCAATTTCGTTTAGAATATGGTTATACGGTTGATATGTGAGTTTATTCTCATCTTTTTTTTTCTTTTTCTTTGTATGACTTCCATGTCCTCTATTTTATTATCATCCATTTGATTGTTGTTGTTTAGATACAAACTGATATTAATATAGTTCTTAAAATCATTCAGTGTCGTATTGATAATCAAATTACATGAAGATTTAGTTTAAAATCTCATACCATATGATCTATTCTTATTCTATAAAATATCATAAATATGAACTTAATACAATCAGAATTTAATGTCAATATTTTCTCATTGCGATTTTACATTTAGAGTCTATATGAATTCGTAATTGAATTCAACCTAGAAATTATTGATTTTTAAACATTGACATATAATAGATGAATTAGATAAAGTAATCTTTTAATAAACATTCATGAACTTAACTTACTTACTTACTTACGCCTGTTACTGCTTATGAGGGAGCATAGAACGCCCGCAAGCATTCTCCATCCAACCCTGTCCTGGGCAATCCTTTCCAGCTCTTTCCACTTGTTATTCATCCTTTTCATATCTGCTTCTACTTCCCGATGTAATGTGTTCGTTGGCCTTCATCTTTTTCGCTTCCCTTCAGGATTCCAGGTTAGGGCTTGTCTCGTAATGCAGTCTGATGATTTCCTCAATGTATGTCCTATCCATCAACTCCGTCGTCTTTTCCTAATTTCCTCTTCAGCTGGAAGTTGGTTTGTTCTTTCTCACAAAAGGTTGTTGCTGATGGTATCCGGTCAATGAATGTTGAGTATCTTGCGAAGTTAGCTATTGATAAATACTTGTACCTTCTTGAACTTAACTGTCATCCATTTATAAATTAAGAATTTACTTTTCATAAAATTTAGTAATATTTACAATAAATAGAAGTTGCTTATATCTTATAATATTTCTTGCTTAATATATCAGTAATAGTAAATATATAAATCAATATATAAAAGGATTTCTGATTAATCACACTTGAAATAGATTACATTATTAATTAGAATAGTAATTCAGGACCATATAGAGATATTCTCCATGTGATTGATGATTATTGTAGTTCCTGATGAAGTAAACTGGAGCCTCCAATGCAACAAGATCTTCATGAAAATTTATTAAAATTCATCATTTCATTTAACATTTAAAGATTGACTAATATTTTCTAGGGATAATTAGAAATTATTTTAACTTATGAATGCTTAAAATAGCAATATGAATAATCCAAAACAAAAGCAGTGAGTGTTGTTATGTAACTTTCTGTTTTTAATTAATTTTTACACTATGGTTGATCAAAAAAGTTATGAATTTTAATCTTTTACCTTAAGGACCTTACATTCACATATTGTTTAGTAAAATAGTTTAAGCAGTTTGACCATATACAGTGAGTTGAATTGATGTAGACGTTGAATTGAACTTAAGATAAAAACTGTAATGTCTTTGTAACCGCTAGTTATCACATAATCTATTCGTCAATCAAAATACGACTTATACGCTCTGATACAGTACTAAACCGATGACGTCCGGTCGGTCTGATCAGCCTAGCGTCCTATTGGTCCGTCGCTCGCCTGGCCCGTCCAGCTGAGTCTAGAATGCCAGCAACAGCCTCCCTTATATGAATCACTTATTTCTGACATACTGGGTTTATATATCAACCAAACAGACCGCAACGCACCATAAAATAGAAAACAACATTTATAAAAAATAAAGCCAAAAGTGGCTGTGAACGTGGAAGATAGTAGTTAATAAACTGAGTATATCTTAGAAACAGTAAACTGTACAATAATAATCTATAGATCAAAATGAAGCTTATAATAAGGGGAATATATATATATATATAGAGAGAGAGAGATAGATAGATAGATAGATAGATAGATAGATAGATAGATAGATAATATTAGCCCATTAATAGGTCTCCGAAGATACCAGTAATTATCTTGTAGATTTGATAATAACTTATTACTTAAATGAGAAATACTACTGAATATGTTAAACAGTCAACATAAGTTAACAGAGAAGTGAAATCTAATTCAGTTGGCATTAAAAAAAAGAACCAATTGAATTCAGAGTTACATGGGCTATTTTTTTCAGTTTTTTCTGATAAATACTTTATAAATATAAGCATGAGTTTTGTAGAAAGTTGGATCACATAGAACATTGTTAGTACATATGAGCATTTCAAAGATATTGTAATTACTTTCATGGTTTAACGGTAGGACAAATATTTAAGTTGCATCACAGTATATATTCCTGCCATTAGTTTCATACCAAAAGTTTGATTTCTTCTAATGTGATATGTTCTTAACATTAAAACAACAAATATTTCTTTCTTCCAGAAGTAGGTGATTTATCATCTTGACATAATAAGTAGTATAAAATTGGTTATTATCAAATACTAGATTTTAAGTCATTAGTTAATCACTAACTCATTAAATATAAACCTACAATTATTTATAATACACAAATCCACGCATAGCAACTACTTTAGTAATTCATTAAATTAAGCTTAATCTCTGTATTCGAAAAAAACGGAGATATTCAATGCTTTTAATTATTTTGTCTTGAATGTTTACGTATCATCTAAATAGTGCTGTTATTTCTTTTAGTTTTATACTAATTTATGATCAAAAAAGACCTGAACATAATACTTTATTATTATTTATTTAATTGATAGATATTTAAGAAGCAAACTTAATTCACTTAAGTAAGTATTAACATTTGAATTACATTTACTTATCAATCATTCCATGAAGAATATTCCTAAGTAACATCAAATTAAGAATTAATAATGTTATTTAATGTGATATTTATTATTAAGAGCAAATAACTCAATCCTGATATGATAATGAATGATTACTTTAGAAAACTTAAGAAATAATAAGTACAAGGCACAGTTTATAAGCTTACACAACTTTGGTTTGAATAATAATTTTTTTCTAGTTAGCGTTTATTTAGCGAGTTAGTTTTCTACGAGATGAGGTCACTAACACCATGCCCAACCCTCCTCCTTTATCCAGGCTTGGGACCGACAGTAGCTATAGAGGGGCTCCAGGCGGAGTTTTACACAACTCTAATACATTTAAATGTAACATGTATAACTTTACTACCAAAATTAAGCTAAGTTGTTTGGAGTTTTTGTACAATACAAGTTAATATGATGAGTGCTGATTTATCAACTCAAATTACTTCTTGATACTTATGATCATTATTGAAATTAACCAGTACTTTTATATATCATAAAAGTTATTCACTCTACATTTTTATCGATCATACTGTTCTAAAGATTGGAAATTTAAAGCTGAAAACTTTTGCTCAATAATTAAGGAAGTGATTAAAATACATATTATTTGAGTCAACTATACTTTCATAGTTGAAGTTGAAGGTTTGAAATACAGTCAATATACATCAAAAATGAATTGAAGTTGGTAATTTGGATTATTAGTTAGTGATTTAATTGCTTAGCAGTACATGATTGACTGTTAGGTTAGAATATCATGCTTTCTACAGTGTTCAGTAACGAGCGTGCAGTGGATCAGTGAAATTTATTAATAATCAAATGAATCAATAACCAGTCGAAATATAATTGAACATTAACTACCTTAATTCTGTGTGAATATATTTGCCTGTTGTCATTCGACCACTAATTGATGTAAAATACAAACTATTTATAAGTATATAGTCTGCCTTATTAAAACGCAATAATGTATCTGTACATTCAGTAATGATAGTAGATGAGTTTCCTTCACGTATTTTATTCACCATGCTAGATAGGGTCCTAATAAATAGAGATAAGGCCCATAATGTTTCATTTTACTATCGGAAAACAAAATAACCAAACACAATAAATAAAATTTGACTGAAAGGTGCACACAGAGAGTCTGATTTCTCAGAACTTCATAGGATATTATAATGAATTCAAACCTAGATGAGACACGTATATTGTCACAAATGAGATATAATATGAGAGTGATAAGATTGATACATCCTGAAAGATTTAAACGTTTTTTTAATGGTTTTATTATGAACAGTATGTATTTTCAATGTCGAACTATAGCTATCCTGTTATGTTCAAATATTTGGTGTTGCTTTTCTAAATATTATGATATAAGTTTTGACACGTCATTATTAACATCTGTTTATTTGCTTCCCCATATTCAATGTTGAAATGAATAGTGACAATGGTGGACGATGGAACCGTTGGATGCCGGCTCAGTAGACTATAGATTAAGCGTCCGCGTGAGAGATTGATAGGTTTTGGGTTCGAATCTCTCGAGGCAGGGTTGTGGGTGCGTACTGATGAGGAGTCTCAGACTAGGATGAAACGGTCATCCAATTCTTCCAGGTTTTCTATGGTGATCTAGCTTCAATTGACTCATGAATTCAATTATTAAAAATATTTTTACTTATTACTGATTCTCTACTATAATTCATTTAAAAAATATTTTTCTAAAATGTCACAAATACTATCAATATTTCTTGGTAACCAACAATATTAGCTCATTTGATATTGTTTTATTTGAATCTTCCCATTGATGGTTAGGACTGAAATTGTTCAGTCTCTTATTGGCATATGTGCATACTGTGCGTATGCCTCGATATTGCCTTAATTTACAAGTGAACATCAACTCTGAGATGCAGGTACATCCAGCTGACGAGTCCCGAATAAGACTGATAGCCACCATCCATCTTTGCTTACAACAATATTAGCACTTCAAGTGTATACTGATTCCATATAATCCCTATCATAACTTGAATAATCATAAATATCTTATCTAAATTATGCTTTCTTAAATTATTCAGTGAATATTTACGGTCAAGGGAGATGTAAGTGTTTTTTAAGATTCTCAAGATTTCTTTTTTGAATATAAACATTTTTTTAATTTACTGAAGCAACTTCTAATAATCTTATTAAACTTAATAGTTTTAATGCATACCATGCATCTAAATACAGATGATAAGGGTATCATAAGGTATTAGTTAGCTTAGAAGAGATGAATATATCTTAGTTATCCTAATGGTGTTTATTTAGTAAATGAAATGGAACTAGCTCAAGTTATATTGTACTCACTTTTTTTGTATATAAATAATGATGGAATTATTTTATTCAACAAAACTTCTTATAAATGACAATATTCAATATGTACCGCTGAATATGATTTTACTGTAGCAAACAAATTTGAAAAAAAAGAGAAATTCCTAGCTAAAAATGTAGACTAATAGAATAGGAAAATTCTGGTTTTCAAAATGAAACCATTTAGATGAATAATGAAAAATAGAATCATTGAACGTTCTAGCTGTATTAGTAATTATAAACGCATTGATGAGCTTTGCGACATCAATGAAAGTTAAAATACAGTAGGAAAATTTCAGTATGCAGCATAGCAATAAATCTAAACAACAAGGCATCAAGTAAATTTAGTTCGCTTATCAATCACACTTTGAAAAAAAAAACACTTGATACTAAGATAACCTCTAAATTGCTATCTGTTTCAAAATACATAAAGTGTCAAGTAGCATCCATAAAGTATTGATCATATGTTTCAAGGTATATGATTTATTGAAAGTAAGAATCTATTTCACTCTTTTGTTTCTTAACATATTAATACATTTAGTAACAAACAATTTACCGAAGATGAGTGAGTTTACTCAGATAACTATTCAAACTAAAAGATAAGTAAGCTAATGTATGTAGTGCTAGAATTTCTGGGGAATAATTCAGTAGTGTTTCCAATTGTCAATCCTGTAAATACAGTGTCCAAATCTGCTCAGAGTGAGATCGTTTAATTAGTATTACCAATAAAATTGCCCTTACTATTACTAATTGTTCATAAATTTAATCAATAGGGATAGTCATATGTGAAATTCCTGATAGTAGCATACTATTTCAGTAATAGTGGTGAATATCAGTTAGTCTATGAATCACGAATCATCAGGTATTTTGGTGTTTACTACGATTTCAGTAGAACAATCACCAAAAAAATAAATTCAGTCTATAAATGATACTAAGGTAATTTAAGGAGACTGACGATGTATATCTGCTGCAGTTGTATGTTTTAGTAACTAACGAAACTAAACGTTGTGATATTTTCAAAAAAAGATGAACAACAATTTTATAAATAGTGACCAAATTATAAATTGATGAGGAGAAGATAGAACGACAATTAGTATCGAAGCAGAAAGAGAGATGGGATACAACAGTAAATTTTTAAAAAGAAAAATACTAGAATGACAGTAGTAGTCGTACCGAAAATGTTCTCATGGAATTGATAATACAATCCCAACAAAATATATTGCAACCCTAGAATCACTAACCAAATGATTTGATGCATCTCTTTAGTAATTAAAGCCTTCAGCCATCGATTTTATTAGAAAGTTAGTGTAACTATAAAGACTTTGTCTAGGATGAAAACGTCTAGTTCACAAAATGACTAGTTAGACGACACATTCATCCATCAATTTAGTTTGAAGGTTAGTCATAATAACATCATAGTATTCATCACAATGTACATAACAGAATAATCACCATATAAATCATACTAAAAATCAGAAACATATATAACATAAAACCGAGTTGTGAACCGCTGTTATGAAACAAGGGATACAACACATAGGAGTTATTTGTTCCTCCTTGTATATTTTTATATAAATGATAAAGTAAATGATTGATATACCTTTTAATCTTCCTTATTGATTTAATCGGTTTTATCTTGTTCTTATTAAATAAGATTCTACAAAATAATATACGATAGGTAAGTACATGACATATACATGTGATTAACTTTATAGACGAGATATTAGAATCTGATTTTTAGACTAAAATGTTTATTTGTAACCTACTTAAGAACTTGGAAATTACATTATTGTAAATTTTAAGAACTGGATTAGTTAGGCTTAAACATGAACAAGCCAAAAATACTTAAATCTTGTGATAAAATATGTACTGTTAAATGATCGAGTTAGAATAATGTGATCAACATCCTCCACCTATATAATGTAATTTAATACACTCAGTAATATGAAATTATGTATTTGATTCAGAATAAACAAGCATATTGAAGACGAGTGAGTTCATTCAATGTTTTATTTACGCCTGTTACTCCTCATGAAGGAGCATAGAACGCCCGCAAGCATTCTCCATCCAACCCTGTCCTGGGCAATCCTTTCCAGCTCTTTCCACTTGTTATTCATCCTTTTCATATCTGCTTCTACTTCCCGATGTAATGTGTTCGTTGGCCTTCATCTTTTCCGCTTCCCTTCAGGATTCCAGGTTAGGGCTTGTCTCGTAATGCAGTTTGATGATTTCCTCAATGTATGTCCTATCCATCAACTCCGTCGTCTTTTCCTAATTTCCTCTTCAGCTGGAAGTTGGTTTGTTCTTTCTCACAAAAGGTTGTTGCTGATGGTATCCGGTCAATGAATGTTGAGTATCTTGCGAAGATAGCTATTGATAAATACTTTTACCTTCTTGGTGGTGGTTGTTGTATATCTCCACGTCTCAGCTCCGTACAGTAGAACTGCCTTGACGTTTGTATTGAAGATTCTGACTTTGATATTGATTGAAAGTTGTTTTGAGTTCCATATGTTCTGTAATTGAAGGAATGCGGCCCTCGCTTTTACGTCTGCATCTGAACCTCCTTGTTCATCGATGATGCTTCCCAGGTATGTGAAGGATTCTACATCTTCCAGAGTTTTGTCACCAAGAGTGATTGGATTGCTGTTCTCCGTGTTATATTTGAGGACTTTGGTTTTCCCTTTGTGTATGTTGAGGCCTACTGATGCAGAGACTGTTGCTACACTGGCTGTCTTTATCTGCATTTGTTCATGTGTATGCGATAGGAGGGCTAGGTCATCTGCGAAGTGCGAATCGTCTAATTGGTTCTTAGCTGTCCATGGTATGCCGTGTTTTCCCTCAGATGTCAAGGTCTTTATAATCCAATTGACCACCAGAAGAAAGAGGAGGACAGAGAATAGGCAGCCTTGTTTGACTCTGGTTCTTACGTGGAATGCATCTGTCGGCTGCCTTCCATGCACGATCTTGCACTGTAGTCCGTCGTATGAGTTCCGGATAATGTTGACAATCTTCTCAGGAACTCCGTAGTGTCGAAGAAGTTTCCATAAAGTTCTCCTATTTACGCTGTAAAACGCCTCTTCATAATCAATGAAGTTGATGTACAGTGACAAGTTCCACTCAATTGATTGTTCGACGATGATCTGTAGTGTTACAATTTGGTCTGTGCACGACCGGTCCTTACGGAATCCAGGCTGCTGATCTCGAAGTTGGGTGTCTACTGCGTCTTTCACCTGGTTCAGCAACACGCTGTTAAGGACTTTCCCTGGTACTGACAGTAATGTAATGCCTCTGTAGTTTTCACACTTGTTCAGATCTCCTTTCTTTGGAATCTTGATGAGGTGTCCTTCTTTCCAGTTCATCAGCACTTGTTCTTCCCCTCAAATCTTCTTGAGTAGAAGGTGAAGCATGTTTGTAGTTACTTCGATGTCTGACTTCAGTGCTTCAGCTGGTATATTGTCTGGTCCTGATGATTTCCCGCTCTTGATTTGTCTGATGGTCATTCTAATTTCTTCCGTCGTTGGTGGATTGACATCGATAGGAAAATCTGTATGTGGTGCTTCGATGTCCGGTGGATTCATTAGAACCGGCCTATACAGGAGTTCCTCGAAGTACTTTACCCATCTGTTCCGCTGTTGGTGGATTTAAGTGATTGGCCTGCCTCCTATGTATTTGACTGGTCTCTCTGATTTACTACATTCCTCTGCTAGTTTCTTCGTTGTATCGTAAAGCTGTTTCATATTTCCCTCTCTTGCAGCTTTCCCTGCCGTCGTTTCTAGTTCTTCCACGTACTTTTGCTTGTCAACTCTAATTCTCTTCTTCACTTGCTTGTTTGCTTCTATGTATTCAGCTTGTGTTTGGACTTTCTTTGCTCGTGTTCGGCTGTTGTTAATTGCTGTCTTCTTATTCTTCCTTTCTTTGATCCTGTCCAGTGTTTCTATAGAGATCCATTCCTTGTGATGATGCTTCTTGGGGCCCAGAACCTCTTGACACGTTGAAGTTAATGCTTCTTTGATACCTTTCCGGTTATCCTTCATAGTAGTTTCTTCTTCCTTCAGTAGATCTTGTAAGGCTTGGAACCTGTTGTTGAGAGCTATCTCGAATTCGTTGAATTTGTCAGTATCTCGAAGGAAGGCTATGTTGAACCTTTGAAGTGCTGTTTGTCCAGTTGTTCAGTTCTTGTTTAGCTTCAGTTTTAAATTGGCTACAACTAGGTGATGATCTGAAGGTATGTCAGTTCCTCTCCTGGTTCCATTGTCCTTCGGAATTTTTTATTGATGCAAATATGATCTATCTGGTTCTCTGTGGTGTGGTTCGGTGAGATCCATGTAGCTTTGTTTATACGTTTTTGTGGAAATATTGTGCCGCCTATGACCAATTTGTTGAATGCTTACAGATTTGCAAATCTTTCCCCATTTTCGTATCTCTCTCCCAGTCCATGTAGTCCCATGATATCTTTATATCCGGTGTTGTCTAATCCGACTTTGGCGTTTAGACCACCTATCAGAATGGTGAGGTCTTTTCTTGGGCACTTCTCTATGATTGACTACAACCTCTCATAGAATCGATCTTTTGTGTCGTCGTTGATATCACTGGTGGGTACATAACATCGGACATCATTCATTGTGATTTCTTCCTTCTTTGTTTTGAATGATGCTTTGATGATTCTGGATCCGTGAGATTCCCATCCTACAGGTACATTTCGTGCTACTTTGAACAGCATTAAAACAACTCCCTGAGTGTGTGGAGCATTGTCCTCTTCTTGACCGGAGTATAGCAGCGTCTCTCCCGTATTTAACCTTTGTTGTCCAGATTGGGTCCAATGGGTTTCGCTGATTCCCAGTACTGCCAAGTTGTATCTCTTCATTTCCGTTGCTATTTGACTGGTCTTCCCGGTCTCTCACATTGTCCGGATGTCCCATGTACCTATAAAAATTGTTGCTCTGGTTGTTAGAAGGGGCATCGGTCTCGTGGCTTCCGAAGGAACTCGGCTTTTACCATGAGGTGTCATGGTTCTTCTAAATGAAGACATTCTAACTCCCAGGACAGAGTTTAAATGGTTTGAATTATTTTTTCTGGATTGCGTCTTTTTAGCGAGTTAGTTTTCCACGGGATGGAGTCACTAAACCCATGCCCAACCCTCCTCTTTTACCCGGGCTTGGAACCGACAGTAACTCTAGAAGAGCTGTAGGTGGAGTTGTTTTATGACATATTTCTACGTAAAACATTCTCTACAAATTATTATAAACTATTAATGATGTTTATTAAAATGAATGTTTTTAAATGATTATATGATCAGAAATTCCTTTCATAAATTGCATATTGGAATAATTTTAACGATATTTTATTCGACCTACAGAGTTACAATGTTATTTAGGACTGCAATTTATAAGTCTCTTGTTGGCATATGGGAAACCTGTGCGGACTACCTCGATATTGCCTGAAGTCACAAGCTTTATAAGCAAAGATGGATAGTGGCTAGCAGTGGAATACAGGACGTGCGTTTCGTCCTAGTCGGGACTCATCAGCTGGATGTACTTGCATCTCAGAGTTGATATTCACTCTGGGACTCGAACACACTACCGTTCACTTCAAACGCCATCGCGTTATCCACTTAGCTACTGAGTCCTGATAACCATCTGCTTGTGCAATGGCTTTTAGATGCAATCATACTTTAGTTAAATTAAAAGCATAGATGTAATTATGAAAAGTTTCAAGATGTAGTCTGTAATTAACGTTGGTGTTTATTGTAATATAGTACGATCAACAAAATACTTAAGAAATAATGGAATAAAAACTAGCTAAGTATTTAAATAGACGGAAACAGAAACTGCAAAGTATGTCAATATTCCCATGTGAAAGCAATAAAGTATTTAACAAAGGTGATATGATATTTCATTATTGAATTAGTTGTTTCAATACTCTCATTGATGTTTAGGACTGAAATTAATCAGTCTCCTATTGGCATATGTTCATCCTGTGAGGGTCGCCTCGACATTATTATGAACTACAAGTAATAAAATCAAAGATTACAGTGGTTAGAAGTGGAATGAAGGTTGCACGTTTCATCCCATTTTGAACGCGATGGCTTTTAAAGCGAACGGTATTGTTTCGAGTCCCGGAGTAAAAATTAACTCTGGAATGCAAGTAAATTCAGCTGATGAGTCCAAAGTAGGAAGAAACGCCTGTCTTGGATTCCACTGTTAGCTACCATCATTTCTACTCATAATAAGACATTTGTTAAACATTCCAGAAACACCGATATTCACATAATTGAAAAGTGAGCATTAGTTTATTAAAATGTTTAATGCAAATTGATTATCAAAATTTTTAATAACTGAAGTTTTCAGAATTTACTTAAAACTCTATTCAAGCCACATATAAGCAGATAATTTTAGCCAACTCAGTACAATCAAACACCACAAAACTACTGAATACTAACAGATGTATCGTTTGACAGATCAAAAGAAGAATAGAATCCAATCATTAATTTGAGCATAAAGGTAGAAACTAAATAAAAGAACAAATATAAAAATAAGTCAGTCAATCATATGCAACATAGATCCCATCATATTTGTGTTACCTCATCATTTTGTCACAGACAATCAATATATGTAAACCAATTCAGAAATGGCAGTAGTGGTAGTAGTAGTAGTAGTAGAAGAAGAAGAAGAAGAAGAAAAGAATAGACATGGACAGTATGATTTGGCAACAAAGAAAAAATTTTAAAGCAAGTATATGATGTTATTGTAACTCCTGTTTTTAGTAGAGGACGGTTAAAATGATTATGAGATATATCAAGTGATCTTTTCCAAATTTTGGTTACGAGAAACGCGCGAAAACCTTCCGTGTATTACATATCTATCGATACTCTACAATTCAACAGCCAGTAAATTCAGGGACTGATGTCATATCTTGGTTAGGCAGTCCCTAAATTTCTTTCTGCCCTCTCCTAAATCACACAATTTGGCTGGCCCGGGTTAACAATGACTGAACGTTCTGAACAAAATATCCGAACCAATTCAGTTGATGAAAAAGTAGTTACTTCACCAATCGCTTTGTTAACTTCAGATGCCAAACGTACATATGCGAGCAAGCAAACAGAGGAAGGTATAAAAGATTAATATTAGATTAAGATATCCTACTATTTCTACAGATCACTTCTCAAAACTTGAACGTAAGATAGAATAAAAACCTCATAAATGCACATGCACAATTGTTCGTAGCCGATAAGTGAACAGAGTAAAAAGTAACGCAGATAAAAAATTTCAAAACAGCAGACAATAGCTAATCGCAATATAAACATGAAAAGAACCACAAAACGCAGTCATCTAGTTCATTTACAAGATCAAAGAAAATAGACTACACAACAAATTTACCTGATATCTCCTACAATGTAGGACTGATAAACAACCAATTCAGAAGTGAGTCAATCGTCTGTTGTCATTTATCACATTGAGTTTTTCGGTGTTTCACAAATTTATTCTTCTAATTTGTTCATCACAATTTATCGGTTCGTGTTCAATTTCTATGTTTGTCGATATGTCTTATCCACTATTTTATCAATTTGGATTGATTGAATTCTGAGATTACTATCTATTCATAATGATCGCGCATACTCATATTAAACTTATTCGTCTCATCTGCACTGTCCAGAGATAATGGCAACCATGTTGTACAAAAGCGAGTAAATTCCTCATTGTCTATTTCTAAATTTAATGAGTACGTTGTATAAAATCGGGTACACTGACAGTTTACAAATCAGATTCGTCAATCATTGTCAGAAAGACACAAATCTATTCCCTCACTTGCATTGTTCTAACTTCCAAATAAATTTAGGATCTCATATAACATCCCCAAATAGTGTCTTTTAACTGACCTGTCTTATCATCTGACAGGTCTAGTTGTTTACCAATAAAGCATAACAACATCAAACAAAACCTCACATAGTGCACCACAGACAACAATTATTTACCTTCCTCATACACATAATATAATCATCACCAAGAGATCGTATTAGGGATTCAAAATACTGAAACATTATAAGGACAATCCAACAGCCCAAATTTGCTCAATACTGACAACCTAATCACAACAAACAATATAATAATTCACAAGATGGTATAATAAATGAAAAATGTCTCACCTTAGAAAGCATATGTCAATACACCGAATCTTTATGTTAATCAAAGATTCCAGAATAGCTTATAAAATTACAGAAAATGCATTTCATTCCATCACATGCACTCAATCAAATAAACTGTTCTCTGGAGTTAGTGAGAATTCATCACAAAACATTCTATAAAAGCTTTCAATAGTGAATCTAAAGCACAGATTCTTGAGAAAGTTATTCAGAGAAGCCATCAGAATCTACTGAAAGTCAGATAAACTATGTATTACTTGATGGAGAGAGATTCGTGATAAAAACAATGAATTGTGAACTGTTAAATGAATGGAACACCAATAACAATGCAGTATCAGGCAACATGGTCAGAATTAATGATTCTTTAGGTAGTATGAATATTGGTAGTAGACTCAGTGTAATTTTGACACCATCAAATATATGATCCACATTAAGATGAAGAAATTCCATCTCATTTCTATTATTTAGAGAAGTCTCCAAACGTCCAGTGACAAAGTGAGTGAACTGATAGTTGTCACCGATTCATTTTTTTAATCCTATATGTTTAACATTTATCCAGTCTGAACGGTACGCTCTCACTGTCATAGAACAAATTTAAACCAACGAGGACGGCGATATTTACAAAGTCAAACGAAACCAAACTGAAATATGCTATGTTTTATTCATTTAAATTTATCAGTCAGTGTTTGACCTCCATGTGTGTATGAGTGTGTTTGTGTGTGCATGTGGAATGTATTTTGTGCATTGAAATGTGGAGGTGATTCTGACTGATTGTCGGAAATCGGTGACCACATTAATTCTATCTACCGAGTGTGATATATTAAAAGAGTGGTCCATATATCTGAATAGTTAATGTAGGATAAATGCACAAGTTGCAGACGACAAGAGATATGAGAAGTGAAATTTCTGTCATTACTTCAAAATGTAAGGTGTGTTCTGATTAGTCATGAGATCCTTGTGGCTTCAATCACTCGACTGTTTTCAAGTGTTCAGTTGTCTTTTCATAGTAGGTAAAGACAGTTTATTTTCCTGTGTTTGTTTAAAGGCCAGTAAATAATGGAACGTCAGACAAGTGAGTTGATTTCATTTTAATATTGCTCAAATTACTTTATTCACGATCGAGTTGAATGTTATAATGACTGTGACTTGTATGTCTTTGTTCAAACTCCATATATACGAGCAAAATTATATTATGGTTTTTGTGCATTGGAGTGTGGAATGATTGACAAATGTTCTAATTACAATCCGTTCGACAACTTCAGATTATTCAAATAAAGCGTACAGTCGAATCGTGACAATACGATAATCAGAAGTATTCGAATCGGTGTTCTAACTGAAAATTCCCACAATAGTCCAATTCAAGGTAGGTGAAAGTCTATGAGCACAACGAAATGTATTATATTTGGAATTGGTGATGAGCACGCAATCAAATACAAAGGAATAATCAGTTAGTAAAAATGCCACAACCACGACAACTTAAATGAATGTTGGGCTTTTGCAATTCCTCGTACGACAGCTTCATTGAATTTATGTCATATTCTCTTTTGAATATTGTCTAGATAATGCTCATTAGTGTTAGAATGAACAACAGAAATAGGAATGGACTATTTTGGTCCTTTCAACATATTTATTTTGTGTGACTGTCATGTGTACGAACCATAGAATTATTAATTTTTTTGAATTGTCAAAGCTCAGTTTCTTCAATGTACGTGACGTCAGCAGACAGTACACATTCTATGTTTGGACGAACACACTATGTTTTAGGCAATTTTTTATTATTTCCATTGAATACGGTCTTCATTTCTATACGAATGAACTTGTTCTACTCTTCTCTCCGGGCCTTTGAATTTCACAGCAGTAATAGAACTGGTTGTTGTTTTCAAGGTGTTAAAATTTCCAACCGGAAAATCTTAATAATAGAGTGATGGGGTTGTGCACAACTATTCGCATTTCAATTGTCCAGCAAACAACTTATTAGGCAATTCATTGGAATTGTCTACACAGGTCAATAACGGAAGTTGTGCTTGATGACATTTTATGTAATCTAATGCGAGGATATATGGTCCACCATTAGTGATGAGAAACTGACAAGTTACAATTGAAGACTTATCACCTCTGATCAGCAAATGGAAGCATCCAAGAATCCGAATTTCATCACCAATAATACTCGAAATAGAAACATCGACATTTTTAATAACAGCACTGAAATTCGATAATTTCAATTTTCCGACTGCAATGATAGATTTGATCTTACCAGTGTCAACAATGAAATCATGAAAAGCACCATTGCACAAGTAAAGTGGTTTCGGAATGCGAAGTGAACTACTCGGAGTCGTAAACAAGGATAGTATGTGATGATTAGAGTCACCCAAACTGATAGGATCCGAACTACAGAGTTTATTATCGCTAGAGGTGAAATGAACAGTTGTTCAACCCACTGACTTGATATACCATAGTTCGCCGTAATTGAAGCATTTAGCATGACGAAATACACATGAATTACGTGAATGACGTTTACCACATTATAAACATTTACCAAACTTGTTCTCACCTTTATATACTGATTTGCAATTCTTCAATGGATTGTTTCGCATGTTTTCACGAGGACGGGGATTATCATTAGTTAAACGCCTCTCCGTATGAAGGTTTGAAGAAAGACGCATCACCAAACGATTGTCTTTTATTCAAACTGTTATGCAATTGGCGTTTGTCATCTTTAAACAGAAGTTGAAACAACATTATCTCCTTGAAGATAATCACTCGGTTTGACACTTACTTTCTTTGACTTAATGTGTTTTCCAATAGACTTTATGAAATAGTCATTGTCCAGAATGCATCTCTCCATCTACTTCAATGTTATGTGAACACACTACGGTTATAAAGAGAGTGAATACAGATTGTCTGAAGGAGGCTGCTGTCATTCGATTGCATGTGAGCATTTTCACAGAGAGAATGACACAAACAATCTGTGAAATTCGCTTGTCCACTATGATCTCACCTGACTGTCTAAAACTGATTTATCTTACTTCTCCTATATTGTAGGACTGATAAACAACCAATTCAGAAGTGAGTCAATCGTCTGTTGTCATTTATCACATTGAGTTTTTCGGTGTTTCACAAATTTATTCTTCTAATTTGTTCATCACAATTTATCGGTTCGTGTTCAATTTCTATGTTTGTCGATATGTCTTATCCACTATTTTATCAATTTGGATTGATTGAATTCTGAGATTACTATCTATTCATAATGATCGCGCATACTCATATTAAACTTATTCGTCTCATCTGCACTGTCCAGAGATAATGGCAACCATGTTGTACAAAAGCGAGTAAATTCCTCATTGTCTATTTCTAAATTTAATGAGTACGTTGTATAAAATCGGGTACACTGACAGTTTACAAATCAGATTCGTCAATCATTGTCAGAAAGACACAAATCTATTCCCTCACTTGCATTGTTCTAACTTCCAAATAAATTTAGGATCTCATATAACATCCCCAAATAGTGTCTTTTAACTGACCTGTCTTATCATCTGACAGGTCTAGTTGTTTACCAATAAAGCATAACAACATCAAACAAAACCTCACATAGTGCACCACAGACAACAATTATTTACCTTCCTCATACACATAATATAATCATCACCAAGAGATCGTATTAGGGATTCAAAATACTGAAACATTATAAGGACAATCCAACAGCCCAAATTTGCTCAATACTGACAACCTAATCACAACAAACAATATAATAATTCACAAGATGGTATAATAAATGAAAAATGTCTCACCTTAGAAAGCATATGTCAATACACCGAATCTTTATGTTAATCAAAGATTCCAGAATAGCTTATAAAATTACAGAAAATGCATTTCATTCCATCACATGCACTCAATCAAATAAACTGTTCTCTGGAGTTAGCGAGAATTCATCACAAAACATTCTATAAAAGCTTTCAATAGTGAATCTAAAGCACAGATTCTTGAGAAAGTTATTCAGAGAAGCCATCAGAATCTACTGAAAGTCAGATAAACTATGTATTACTTGATGGAGAGAGATTCGTGATAAAACCAATGAATTGTGAACTGTTAAATGAATGGAACACCAATAACAATGCAGTATCAGGCAACATGGTCAGAATTAATGATTCTTTAGGTAGTATGAATATTGGTAGTAGACTCAGTGTAATTTTGACACCATCAAATATATGATCCACATTAAGATGAAGAAATTTCATCTCATTTCTATTATTTAGAGAAGTCTCCAAACGTCCAGTGACAAAGTGAGTGAACTGATAGTTGTCACCGATTCATTTTTTTAATCCTATATGTTTAACATTTATCCAGTCTGAACGGTACGCTCTCACTGTCATAGAACAAATTTAAACCAACGAGGACGGCGATATTTACAAAGTCAAACGAAACCAAACTGGAATATGCTATGTTTTATTCATTTAAATTTATCAGTCAGTGTTTGACCTCCATGTGTGTATGAGTGTGTTTGTGTGTGCATGTGGAATGTATTTTGTGCATTGAAATGTGGAGGTGATTCTGACTGATTGTCGGAAATCGGTGACCACATTAATTCTATCTACCGAGTGTGATATATTAAAAGAGTGGTCCATATATCTGAATAGTTAATGTAGGATAAATGCACAAGTTGCAGACGACAAGAGATATGAGAAGTGAAATTTCTGTCATTACTTCAAAATGTAAGGTGTGTTCTGATTAGTCATGAGATCCTTGTGGCTTCAATCACTCGACTGTTTTCAAGTGTTCAGTTGTCTTTTCATAGTAGGTAAAGACAGTTTATTTTCCTGTGTTTGTTTAAAGGCCAGTAAATAATGGAACGTCAGACAAGTGAGTTGATTTCATTTTAATATTGCTCAAATTACTTTATTCACGATCGAGTTGAATGTTATAATGACTGTGACTTGTATGTCTTTGTTCAAACTCCATATATACGAGCAAAATTATATTATGGTTTTTGTGCATTGGAGTGTGGAATGATTGACAAATGTTCTAATTACAATCCGTTCGACAACTTCAGATTATTCAAATAAAGCGTACAGTCGAATCGTAACAATACGATAATCAGAAGTATTCGAATCGGTGTTCTAACTGAAAATTCCCACAATAGTCCAATTTAAGGTAGGTGAAAGTCTATGAGCACAACGAAATGTATTATATTTGGAATTGGTGATGAGCACGCAATCAAATACAAAGGAATAATCAGTTAGTAAAAATGCCACAACCACGACAACTTAAATGAATGTTGGGCTTTTGCAATTCCTCGTACGACAGCTTCATTGAATTTATGTCATATTCTCTTTTGAATATTGTCTAGATAATGCTCATTAGTGTTAGAATGAACAACAGAAATAGGAATGGACTATTTTGGTCCTTTCAACATATTTATTTTGTGTGACTGTCATGTGTACGAACCATAGAATTATTAATTTTTTTGAATTGTCAAAGCTCAGTTTCTTCAATGTACGTGACGTCAGCAGACAGTACACATTCTATGTTTGGACGAACACACTATGTTTTAGGCAATTTTTTATTATTTCCATTGAATACGGTCTTCATTTCTATACGAATGAACTTGTTCTACTCTTCTCTCCGGGCCTTTGAATTTCACAGCAGTAATAGAACTGGTTGTTGTTTTCAAGGTGTTAAAATTTCCAACCGGAAAATCTTAATAATAGAGTGATGGGGTTGTGCACAACTATTCGCATTTCAATTGTCCAGCAAACAACTTATTAGGCAATTCATTGGAATTGTCTACACAGGTCAATAACGGAAGTTGTGCTTGATGACATTTTATGTAATCTAATGCGAGGATATATGGTCCACCATTAGTGATGAGAAACTGACAAGTTACAATTGAAGACTTATCACCTCTGATCAGCAAATGGAAGCATCCAAGAATCCGAATTTCATCACCAATAATACTCGAAATAGAAACATCGACATTTTTAATAACAGCACTGAAATTCGATAATTTCAATTTTCCGACTGCAATGATAGATTTGATCTTACCAGTGTCAACAATGAAATCATGAAAAGCACCATTGCACAAGTAAAGTGGTTTCGGAATGCGAAGTGAACTACTCGGAGTCGTAAACAAGGATAGTATGTGATGATTAGAGTCACCCAAACTGATAGGATCCGAACTACAGAGTTTATTATCGCTAGAGGTGAAATGAACAGTTGTTCAACCCACTGACTTGATATACCATAGTTCGCCGTAATTGAAGCATTTAGCATGACGAAATACACATGAATTACGTGAATGACGTTTACCACATTATAAACATTTACCAAACTTGTTCTCACCTTTATATACTGATTTGCAATTCTTCAATGGATTGTTTCGCATGTTTTCACGAGGACGGGGATTATCATTAGTTAAACGCCTCTCCGTATGAAGGTTTGAAGAAAGACGCATCACCAAACGATTGTCTTTTATTCAAACTGTTATGCAATTGGCGTTTGTCATCTTTAAACAGAAGTTGAAACAACATTATCTCCTTGAAGATAATCACTCGGTTTGACACTTACTTTCTTTGACTTAATGTGTTTTCCAATAGACTTTATGAAATAGTCATTGTCCAGAATGCATCTCTCCATCTACTTCAATGTTATGTGAACACACTACGGTTATAAAGAGAGTGAATACAGATTGTCTGAAGGAGGCTGCTGTCATTCGACTGCATGTGAGCATTTTCACAGAGAGAATGACACAAACAATCTGTGAAATTCGCTTGTCCACTATGATCTCACCTGACTGTCTAAAACTGATTTATCTTACTTCTCCTATATTGTAGGACTGATAAACAACCAATTCAGAAGTGAGTCAATCGTCTGTTGTCATTTATCACATTGAGTTTTTCGGTGTTTCACAAATTTATTCTTCTAATTTGTTCATCACAATTTATCGGTTCGTGTTCAATTTCTATGTTTGTCGATATGTCTTATCCACTATTTTATCAATTTGGATTGATTGAATTCTGAGATTACTATCTATTCATAATGATCGCGCATACTCATATTAAACTTATTCGTCTCATCTGCACTGTCCAGAGATAATGGCAACCATGTTGTACAAAAGCGAGTAAATTCCTCATTGTCTATTTCTAAATTTAATGAGTACGTTGTATAAAATCGGGTACACTGACAGTTTACAAATCAGATTCGTCAATCATTGTCAGAAAGACACAAATCTATTCCCTCACTTGCATTGTTCTAACTTCCAAATAAATTTAGGATCTCATATAACATCCCCAAATAGTGTCTTTTAACTGACCTGTCTTATCATCTGACAGGTCTAGTTGTTTACCAATAAAGCATAACAACATCAAACAAAACCTCACATAGTGCACCACAGACAACAATTATTTACCTTCCTCATACACATAATATAATCATCACCAAGAGATCTTATTAGGGATAAGAGATATGAGATGTGAAATTTCTGTCATTACTTCAAAATGTAAGGTGTGTTCTGATTAGTCATGAGATCCTTGTGGCTTCAATCACTCGACTGTTTTCAAGTGTTCAGTTGTCTTTTCATAGTAGGTAAAGACAGTTTATTTTCCTGTGTTTGTTTAAAGGCCAGTAAATAATGGAACGTCAGACAAGTGAGTTGATTTCATTTTAATATTGCTCAAATTACTTTATTCACGATCGAGTTGAATGTTATAATGACTGTGACTTGTATGTCTTTGTTCAAACTCCATATATACGAGCAAAATTATATTATGGTTTTTGTGCATTGGAGTGTGGAATGATTGACAAATGTTCTAATTACAATCCGTTCGACAACTTCAGATTATTCAAATAAAGCGTACAGTCGAATCGTAACAATACGATAATCAGAAGTATTCGAATCGGTGTTCTAACTGAAAATTCCCACAATAGTCCAATTTAAGGTAGGTGAAAGTCTATGAGCACAACGAAATGTATTATATTTGGAATTGGTGATGAGCACGCAATCAAATACAAAGGAATAATCAGTTAGTAAAAATGCCACAACCACGACAACTTAAATGAATGTTGGGCTTTTGCAATTCCTCGTACGACAGCTTCATTGAATTTATGTCATATTCTCTTTTGAATATTGTCTAGATAATGCTCATTAGTGTTAGAATGAACAACAGAAATAGGAATGGACTATTTTGGTCCTTTCAACATATTTATTTTGTGTGACTGTCATGTGTACGAACCATAGAATTATTAATTTTTTTGAATTGTCAAAGCTCAGTTTCTTCAATGTACGTGACGTCAGCAGACAGTACACATTCTATGTTTGGACGAACACACTATGTTTTAGGCAATTTTTTATTATTTCCATTGAATACGGTCTTCATTTCTATACGAATGAACTTGTTCTACTCTTCTCTCCGGGCCTTTGAATTTCACAGCAGTAATAGAACTGGTTGTTGTTTTCAAGGTGTTAAAATTTCCAACCGGAAAATCTTAATAATAGAGTGATGGGGTTGTGCACAACTATTCGCATTTCAATTGTCCAGCAAACAACTTATTAGGCAATTCATTGGAATTGTCTACACAGGTCAATAACGGAAGTTGTGCTTGATGACATTTTATGTAATCTAATGCGAGGATATATGGTCCACCATTAGTGATGAGAAACTGACAAGTTACAATTGAAGACTTATCACCTCTGATCAGCAAATGGAAGCATCCAAGAATCCGAATTTCATCACCAATAATACTCGAAATAGAAACATCGACATTTTTAATAACAGCACTGAAATTCGATAATTTCAATTTTCCGACTGCAATGATAGATTTGATCTTACCAGTGTCAACAATGAAATCATGAAAAGCACCATTGCACAAGTAAAGTGGTTTCGGAATGCGAAGTGAACTACTCGGAGTCGTAAACAAGGATAGTATGTGATGATTAGAGTCACCCAAACTGATAGGATCCGAACTACAGAGTTTATTATCGCTAGAGGTGAAATGAACAGTTGTTCAACCCACTGACTTGATATACCATAGTTCGCCGTAATTGAAGCATTTAGCATGACGAAATACACATGAATTACGTGAATGACGTTTACCACATTATAAACATTTACCAAACTTGTTCTCACCTTTATATACTGATTTGCAATTCTTCAATGGATTGTTTCGCATGTTTTCACGAGGACGGGGATTATCATTAGTTAAACGCCTCTCCGTATGAAGGTTTGAAGAAAGACGCATCACCAAACGATTGTCTTTTATTCAAACTGTTATGCAATTGGCGTTTGTCATCTTTAAACAGAAGTTGAAACAACATTATCTCCTTGAAGATAATCACTCGGTTTGACACTTACTTTCTTTGACTTAATGTGTTTTCCAATAGACTTTATGAAATAGTCATTGTCCAGAATGCATCTCTCCATCTACTTCAATGTTATGTGAACACACTACGGTTATAAAGAGAGTGAATACAGATTGTCTGAAGGAGGCTGCTGTCATTCGATTGCATGTGAGCATTTTCACAGAGAGAATGACACAAACAATCTGTGAAATTCGCTTGTCCACTATGATCTCACCTGACTGTCTAAAACTGATTTATCTTACTTCTCCTATATTGTAGGACTGATAAACAACCAATTCAGAAGTGAGTCAATCGTCTGTTGTCATTTATCACATTGAGTTTTTCGGTGTTTCACAAATTTATTCTTCTAATTTGTTCATCACAATTTATCGGTTCGTGTTCAATTTCTATGTTTGTCGATATGTCTTATCCACTATTTTATCAATTTGGATTGATTGAATTCTGAGATTACTATCTATTCATAATGATCGCGCATACTCATATTAAACTTATTCGTCTCATCTGCACTGTCCAGAGATAATGGCAACCATGTTGTACAAAAGCGAGTAAATTCCTCATTGTCTATTTCTAAATTTAATGAGTACGTTGTATAAAATCGGGTACACTGACAGTTTACAAATCAGATTCGTCAATCATTGTCAGAAAGACACAAATCTATTCCCTCACTTGCATTGTTCTAACTTCCAAATAAATTTAGGATCTCATATAACATCCCCAAATAGTGTCTTTTAACTGACCTGTCTTATCATCTGACAGGTCTAGTTGTTTACCAATAAAGCATAACAACATCAAACAAAACCTCACATAGTGCACCACAGACAACAATTATTTACCTTCCTCATACACATAATATAATCATCACCAAGAGATCGTATTAGGGATTCAAAATACTGAAACATTATAAGGACAATCCAACAGCCCAAATTTGCTCAATACTGACAACCTAATCACAACAAACAATATAATAATTCACAAGATGGTATAATAAATGAAAAATGTCTCACCTTAGAAAGCATATGTCAATACACCGAATCTTTATGTTAATCAAAGATTCCAGAATGGCTTATAAAATTACAGAAGATGCATTTCATGATGACATTTTATGTAATCTAATGCGAGGATATACGGTCCACCATTAGTGATGAGAAACTGACAAGTTACAATTGAAGACTTATCACCTCTGATCAGCAAATGGAAGCATCCAAGAATCCGAATTTCATCACCAATAATACTCGAAATAGAAACATCGACATTTTTAATAACAGCACTGAAATTCGATAATTTCAATTTTTCGACTGCAATGATAGATTTGATCTTACCAGTGTCAACAATGAAATCATGAAAAGCACCATTGCACAAGTAAAGTGGTTTCGGAATGCGAAGTGAACTACTCGGAGTCGTAAACAAGGATAGTATGTGATGATTAGAGTCACCCAAACTGATAGGATCCGAACTACAGAGTTTATTATCGCTAGAGGTGAAATGAACAGTTGTTCAACCCACTGACTTGATATACCATAGTTCGCCGTAATTGAAGCATTTAGCATGACGAAATACACATGAATTACGTGAATGACGTTTACCACATTATAAACATTTACCAAACTTGTTCTCACCTTTATATACTGATTTGCAATTCTTCAATGGATTGTTTCGCATGTTTTCACGAGGACGGGGATTATCATTAGTTAAACGCCTCTCCGTATGAAGGTTTGAAGAAAGACGCATCACCAAACGATTGTCTTTTATTCAAACTGTTATGCAATTGGCGTTTGTCATCTTTAAACAGAAGTTGAAACAACATTATCTCCTTGAAGATAATCACTCGGTTTGACACTTACTTTCTTTGACTTAATGTGTTTTCCAATAGACTTTATGAAATAGTCATTGTCCAGAATGCATCTCTCCATCTACTTCAATGTTATGTGAACACACTACGGTTATAAAGAGAGTGAATACAGATTGTCTGAAGGAGGCTGCTGTCATTCGATTGCATGTGAGCATTTTCACAGAGAGAATGACACAAACAATCTGTGAAATTCGCTTGTCCACTATGATCTCACCTGACTGTCTAAAACTGATTTATCTTACTTCTCCTATATTGTAGGACTGATAAACAACCAATTCAGAAGTGAGTCAATCGTCTGTTGTCATTTATCACATTGAGTTTTTCGGTGTTTCACAAATTTATTCTTCTAATTTGTTCATCACAATTTATCGGTTCGTGTTCAATTTCTATGTTTGTCGATATGTCTTATCCACTATTTTATCAATTTGGATTGATTGAATTCTGAGATTACTATCTATTCATAATGATCGCGCATACTCATATTAAACTTATTCGTCTCATCTGCACTGTCCAGAGATAATGGCAACCATGTTGTACAAAAGCGAGTAAATTCCTCATTGTCTATTTCTAAATTTAATGAGTACGTTGTATAAAATCGGGTACACTGACAGTTTACAAATCAGATTCGTCAATCATTGTCAGAAAGACACAAATCTATTCCCTCACTTGCATTGTTCTAACTTCCAAATAAATTTAGGATCTCATATAACATCCCCAAATAGTGTCTTTTAACTGACCTGTCTTATCATCTGACAGGTCTAGTTGTTTACCAATAAAGCATAACAACATCAAACAAAACCTCACATAGTGCACCACAGACAACAATTATTTACCTTCCTCATACACATAATATAATCATCACCAAGAGATCGTATTAGGGATTCAAAATACTGAAACATTATAAGGACAATCCAACAGCCCAAATTTGCTCAATACTGACAACCTAATCACAACAAACAATATAATAATTCACAAGATGGTATAATAAATGAAAAATGTCTCACCTTAGAAAGCATATGTCAATACACCGAATCTTTATGTTAATCAAAGATTCCAGAATGGCTTATAAAATTACAGAAGATGCATTTCATGATGACATTTTATGTAATCTAATGCGAGGATATATGGTCCACCATTAGTGATGAGAAACTGACAAGTTACAATTGAAGACTTATCACCTCTGATCAGCAAATGGAAGCATCCAAGAATCCGAATTTCATCACCAATAATACTCGAAATAGAAACATCGACATTTTTAATAACAGCACTGAAATTCGATAATTTCAATTTTCCGACTGCAATGATAGATTTGATCTTACCAGTGTCAACAATGAAATCATGAAAAGCACCATTGCACAAGTAAAGTGGTTTCGGAATGCGAAGTGAACTACTCGGAGTCGTAAACAAGGATAGTATGTGATGATTAGAGTCACCCAAACTGATAGGATCCGAACTACAGAGTTTATTATCGCTAGAGGTGAAATGAACAGTTGTTCAACCCACTGACTTGATATACCATAGTTCGCCGTAATTGAAGCATTTAGCATGACGAAATACACATGAATTACGTGAATGACGTTTACCACATTATAAACATTTACCAAACTTGTTCTCACCTTTATATACTGATTTGCAATTCTTCAATGGATTGTTTCGCATGTTTTCACGAGGACGGGGATTATCATTAGTTAAACGCCTCTCCGTATGAAGGTTTGAAGAAAGACGCATCACCAAACGATTGTCTTTTATTCAAACTGTTATGCAATTGGCGTTTGTCATCTTTAAACAGAAGTTGAAACAACATTATCTCCTTGAAGATAATCACTCGGTTTGACACTTACTTTCTTTGACTTAATGTGTTTTCCAATAGACTTTATGAAATAGTCATTGTCCAGAATGCATCTCTCCATCTACTTCAATGTTATGTGAACACACTACGGTTATAAAGAGAGTGAATACAGATTGTCTGAAGGAGGCTGCTGTCATTCGACTGCATGTGAGCATTTTCACAGAGAGAATGACACAAACAATCTGTGAAATTCGCTTGTCCACTATGATCTCACCTGACTGTCTAAAACTGATTTATCTTACTTCTCCTATATTGTAGGACTGATAAACAACCAATTCAGAAGTGAGTCAATCGTCTGTTGTCATTTATCACATTGAGTTTTTTCGGTGTTTCACAAATTTATTCTTCTAATTTGTTCATCACAATTTATCGGTTCGTGTTCAATTTCTATGTTTGTCGATATGTCTTATCCACTATTTTATCAATTTGGATTGATTGAATTCTGAGATTACTATCTATTCATAATGATCGCGCATACTCATATTAAACTTATTCGTCTCATCTGCACTGTCCAGAGATAATGGCAACCATGTTGTACAAAAGCGAGTAAATTCCTCATTGTCTATTTCTAAATTTAATGAGTACGTTGTATAAAATCGGGTACACTGACAGTTTACAAATCAGATTCGTCAATCATTGTCAGAAAGACACAAATCTATTCCCTCACTTGCATTGTTCTAACTTCCAAATAAATTTAGGATCTCATATAACATCCCCAAATAGTGTCTTTTAACTGACCTGTCTTATCATCTGACAGGTCTAGTTGTTTACCAATAAAGCATAACAACATCAAACAAAACCTCACATAGTGCACCACAGACAACAATTATTTACCTTCCTCATACACATAATATAATCATCACCAAGAGATCTTATTAGGGATAAGAGATATGAGATGTGAAATTTCTGTCATTACTTCAAAATGTAAGGTGTGTTCTGATTAGTCATGAGATCCTTGTGGCTTCAATCACTCGACTGTTTTCAAGTGTTCAGTTGTCTTTTCATAGTAGGTAAAGACAGTTTATTTTCCTGTGTTTGTTTAAAGGCCAGTAAATAATGGAACGTCAGACAAGTGAGTTGATTTCATTTTAATATTGCTCAAATTACTTTATTCACGATCGAGTTGAATGTTATAATGACTGTGACTTGTATGTCTTTGTTCAAACTCCATATATACGAGCAAAATTATATTATGGTTTTTGTGCATTGGAGTGGTGGAATGATTGACAAATGTTCTAATTACAATCCGTTCGACAACTTCAGATTATTCAAATAAAGCGTACAGTCGAATCGTGACAATACGATAATCAGAAGTATTCGAATCGGTGTTCTAACTGAAAATTCCCACAATAGTCCAATTCAAGGTAGGTGAAAGTCTATGAGCACAACGAAATGTATTATATTTGGAATTGGTGATGAGCACGCAATCAAATACAAAGGAATAATCAGTTAGTAAAAATGCCACAACCACGACAACTTAAATGAATGTTGGGCTTTTGCAATTCCTCGTACGACAGCTTCATTGAATTTATGTCATATTCTCTTTTGAATATTGTCTAGATAATGCTCATTAGTGTTAGAATGAACAACAGAAATAGGAATGGACTATTTTGGTCCTTTCAACATATTTATTTTGTGTGACTGTCATGTGTACGAACCATAGAATTATTAATTTTTTTGAATTGTCAAAGCTCAGTTTCTTCAATGTACGTGACGTCAGCAGACAGTACACATTCTATGTTTGGACGAACACACTATGTTTTAGGCAATTTTTTATTATTTCCATTGAATACGGTCTTCATTTCTATACGAATGAACTTGTTCTACTCTTCTCTCCGGGCCTTTGAATTTCACAGCAGTAATAGAACTGGTTGTTGTTTTCAAGGTGTTAAAATTTCCAACCGGAAAATCTTAATAATAGAGTGATGGGGTTGTGCACAACTATTCGCATTTCCATTGTCTAGATAATGCTCATTAGTGTTAGAATGAACAACAGAAATAGGAATGGACTATTTTGGTCCTTTCAACATATTTATTTTGTGTGACTGTCATGTGTACGAACCATAGAATTATTAATTTTTTTGAATTGTCAAAGCTCAGTTTCTTCAATGTACGTGACGTCAGCAGACAGTACACATTCTATGTTTGGACGAACACACTATGTTTTAGGCAATTTTTTATTATTTCCATTGAATACGGTCTTCATTTCTATACGAATGAACTTGTTCTACTCTTCTCTCCGGGCCTTTGAATTTCACAGCAGTAATAGAACTGGTTGTTGTTTTCAAGGTGTTAAAATTTCCAACCGGAAAATCTTAATAATAGAGTGATGGGGTTGTGCACAACTATTCGCATTTCAATTGTCCAGCAAACAACTTATTAGGCAATTCATTGGAATTGTCTACACAGGTCAATAACGGAAGTTGTGCTTGATGACATTTTATGTAATCTAATGCGAGGATATATGGTCCACCATTAGTGATGAGAAACTGACAAGTTACAATTGAAGACTTATCACCTCTGATCAGCAAATGGAAGCATCCAAGAATCCGAATTTCATCACCAATAATACTCGAAATAGAAACATCGACATTTTTAATAACAGCACTGAAATTCGATAATTTCAATTTTCCGACTGCAATGATAGATTTGATCTTACCAGTGTCAACAATGAAATCATGAAAAGCACCATTGCACAAGTAAAGTGGTTTCGGAATGCGAAGTGAACTACTCGGAGTCGTAAACAAGGATAGTATGTGATGATTAGAGTCACCCAAACTGATAGGATCCGAACTACAGAGTTTATTATCGCTAGAGGTGAAATGAACAGTTGTTCAACCCACTGACTTGATATACCATAGTTCGCCGTAATTGAAGCATTTAGCATGACGAAATACACATGAATTACGTGAATGACGTTTACCACATTATAAACATTTACCAAACTTGTTCTCACCTTTATATACTGATTTGCAATTCTTCAATGGATTGTTTCGCATGTTTTCACGAGGACGGGGATTATCATTAGTTAAACGCCTCTCCGTATGAAGGTTTGAAGAAAGACGCATCACCAAACGATTGTCTTTTATTCAAACTGTTATGCAATTGGCGTTTGTCATCTTTAAACAGAAGTTGAAACAACATTATCTCCTTGAAGATAATCACTCGGTTTGACACTTACTTTCTTTGACTTAATGTGTTTTCCAATAGACTTTATGAAATAGTCATTGTCCAGAATGCATCTCTCCATCTACTTCAATGTTATGTGAACACACTACGGTTATAAAGAGAGTGAATACAGATTGTCTGAAGGAGGCTGCTGTCATTCGACTGCATGTGAGCATTTTCACAGAGAGAATGACACAAACAATCTGTGAAATTCGCTTGTCCACTATGATCTCACCTGACTGTCTAAAACTGATTTATCTTACTTCTCCTATATTGTAGGACTGATAAACAACCAATTCAGAAGTGAGTCAATCGTCTGTTGTCATTTATCACATTGAGTTTTTTCGGTGTTTCACAAATTTATTCTTCTAATTTGTTCATCACAATTTATCGGTTCGTGTTCAATTTCTATGTTTGTCGATATGTCTTATCCACTATTTTATCAATTTGGATTGATTGAATTCTGAGATTACTATCTATTCATAATGATCGCGCATACTCATATTAAACTTATTCGTCTCATCTGCACTGTCCAGAGATAATGGCAACCATGTTGTACAAAAGCGAGTAAATTCCTCATTGTCTATTTCTAAATTTAATGAGTACGTTGTATAAAATCGGGTACACTGACAGTTTACAAATCAGATTCGTCAATCATTGTCAGAAAGACACAAATCTATTCCCTCACTTGCATTGTTCTAACTTCCAAATAAATTTAGGATCTCATATAACATCCCCAAATAGTGTCTTTTAACTGACCTGTCTTATCATCTGACAGGTCTAGTTGTTTACCAATAAAGCATAACAACATCAAACAAAACCTCACATAGTGCACCACAGACAACAATTATTTACCTTCCTCATACACATAATATAATCATCACCAAGAGATCTTATTAGGGATAAGAGATATGAGATGTGAAATTTCTGTCATTACTTCAAAATGTAAGGTGTGTTCTGATTAGTCATGAGATCCTTGTGGCTTCAATCACTCGACTGTTTTCAAGTGTTCAGTTGTCTTTTCATAGTAGGTAAAGACAGTTTATTTTCCTGTGTTTGTTTAAAGGCCAGTAAATAATGGAACGTCAGACAAGTGAGTTGATTTCATTTTAATATTGCTCAAATTACTTTATTCACGATCGAGTTGAATGTTATAATGACTGTGACTTGTATGTCTTTGTTCAAACTCCATATATACGAGCAAAATTATATTATGGTTTTTGTGCATTGGAGTGTGGAATGATTGACAAATGTTCTAATTACAATCCGTTCGACAACTTCAGATTATTCAAATAAAGCGTACAGTCGAATCGTGACAATACGATAATCAGAAGTATTCGAATCGGTGTTCTAACTGAAAATTCCCACAATAGTCCAATTCAAGGTAGGTGAAAGTCTATGAGCACAACGAAATGTATTATATTTGGAATTGGTGATGAGCACGCAATCAAATACAAAGGAATAATCAGTTAGTAAAAATGCCACAACCACGACAACTTAAATGAATGTTGGGCTTTTGCAATTCCTCGTACGACAGCTTCATTGAATTTATGTCATATTCTCTTTTGAATATTGTCTAGATAATGCTCATTAGTGTTAGAATGAACAACAGAAATAGGAATGGACTATTTTGGTCCTTTCAACATATTTATTTTGTGTGACTGTCATGTGTACGAACCATAGAATTATTAATTTTTTTTGAATTGTCAAAGCTCAGTTTCTTCAATGTACGTGACGTCAGCAGACAGTACACATTCTATGTTTGGACGAACACACTATGTTTTAGGCAATTTTTTATTATTTCCATTGAATACGGTCTTCATTTCTATACGAATGAACTTGTTCTACTCTTCTCTCCGGGCCTTTGAATTTCACAGCAGTAATAGAACTGGTTGTTGTTTTCAAGGTGTTAAAATTTCCAACCGGAAAATCTTAATAATAGAGTGATGGGGTTGTGCACAACTATTCGCATTTCCATTGTCTAGATAATTCTCATTAGTGTTAGAATGAACAACCTATATTGAATTTGTCTTTCGGTTTTTCTCTTTTCTTGTATCATCTATGTAATTATCATGCATCATTCGGTAGTTATGTTATTGTGTCTTTTTCCTACTTGGAGTATATTTACTGTAAGGTGCTTTAGTCTTAGTCCGTAGATTTTCGAGATTCACGTCCTCTCTTTCTAAAGTTTTTTTAATTTTTTCGAATGTTTTCCTTTTTCTTTTGATAACTCACTATTTTTTAAATTTTTGAATAAACTTTGTTTATATATTTGATTGCGAGTGTCTCGACACATTTCATGCCGTTCTTTCTCCCTTTCGTTATATATTAAATGATTTCTTGATATCCGGTTTCCTTGAATTTATTATACTTCTTCAATGACAGGTTAACTTCGTGTTGAAATGTGACAGTGTATCATTTTCTACTCAAGAATATGTTTCATAATAATAAATATTATCGGTTCTTTAAATTATGGCTGAAAGTGTTTTAAAGACGCTAGTGAATAAATATTTTCTTTTCTCTTTTTATAGATCACATTCTATATCAGATATGTAAGTTATTAATGATACAATATACTTTCATACTGATGAATTATAATTTTATGTTACTAGTAAAGAACAAATAAGTAATTGAAAAACATTGAACACGTAGTATGCAGTCATTTCTGATGTTCATTTTAGAATTTAACCCATCACTAACAATACCGTTTGTTTCAATAACGAATATTTCATATTACTTAACGGCAGTAACGAGGCATTCCGCATAGGATGTGCATATTACTAATAAGAGACTAATCAATTGCAGTCCTAAACGTCAGTGGAAGGATTCAAACAAAAAGAAGACGAAATCATTGTATTGTTGTGCTATATGACGTAACCATTTTATTTCACCATGGTTTTTCAACCTTTTATTTGTTGATTTCAACTCGTACGGTCAGTTATCCAAGCAACATTCAAATTACTTATAAGGCAATTAGTTCTTTTGATAAATCTGGATAGTGTGACAAGAAAACGATTATCAGAAACTTATAATGTATTAAAGATGATACAGAATTTGTAGACCTTGAAGATGATTTTGCTTCTTTTGTAGTTTGTGACATCATAGATTGTATCGTTTCACATTTAATTGAGATAATTATGTGAATAATATTAGTGTAAATTAATAGTAGCAAGCTTTTGAATTCAGAAATACTCAAGATCTACCTATAAGTTAACTGCATAGGAATTCGAACAGTTCACTTGATTTGTAAGTTACATTAATAATACTTTTCGGAAAGACAATGGAATATTCTCACTCAAACTCCTCACTCAAAAATAAATAGAACTCTGAAAATATTTGAAAAATTTAAACCATAATGAATACTAAATTCATTTTGTATTGTTTGTTTAGATCTTCTTGTTGATGTTTATGACTGTAATTAATTAGTCTCTTATTAGCATATGTGCATCCTGTTAGGATTGCCTCGACATTTTCTTAAATTACAAGCAATATAATCAAAGATGATATTGGCTAGAAGTAGAATCCAGGTCTCGCATTTCATCCCAATAAGGACTACTCAGTTGAATGTACACAATGACGTTTGAAGCGAATGGTACCGGGTCTGAGTCCCAATATATCAACACAGCTCTAAGAAATTTTAATTTTTTTCTTACGGGAATAACACTTTAATTCACATTATAATTACTTCCATTACCCTTTTGATGCGATTATTTAGTATTTTTGAAATTTGTTCTTAGTTCAGTCTGACATGATCGGATTAACTAAAACATGGTAATGATTAAATGCTCATAATGCTTATGACTTAAGACAATATCGAGGCGATACGCACAGGGTGCACATATGCAGTCCTAAACATCAATGAGAAGATTTAAACAAACAATACAAAATGAATTTAAACTTAACCCCATAGCACAAGCTAGTGACTATCAGGACTCATTAGCTAACTAGATGAGGCAATGTTGATTGAATTGGACGTTACTGGGTTCGAATCCCTTAGTAGACATCAACTCTAAGGTGCAGGTACATCTAACTGACGAGTCGCAAGTAGGAAGAAATGCGTGTCTTAGATTCCACAGCTAGTTACCACACATATTTGCCCACGATGAATAACGGTATTAAAATGAGAACAAATCATTTATTACATAATTACCGAGTAAGTTTGCTTGTAAGCCTAAAGAACATTACATACTAATCAAACGGTTCAATATAAAACTACTTTAGATCTCAGTATCATGGTAACACTAATTTTTTAGCCTTTATATAAACTCTATAAAATGTTGACATTAAGATGAACTTATTATTGGGAATTGATCTTCGATTACTTATTTTTTATTATTCCGAATAAAGTTTCTTCTCCAATAAGCCAACGTAAGTTAAATAACATCTGATACTTTCTAATATTTATCTTTATCGATTTGGTATATTCAACATCAGCTGGATTTTGATATTTGAACTTTACGTTATATTTGAAATTATTATTATTATTACATTGAACAATGTCGATGGAAGTTCTATTTTTCTGATGAAACCCCATAGAGTTTCTTGTAAATGTTTTTATGTAATTGTACAATTGACTAGTGAAGTTAATTTTTGACCGGTTAGATTGTTATTTTAATAAAACATAAAAAACTGTAACATTTATTCCTGATTTCTATTTTAAACAATTCAACCAATTTCTAAAATAGAAGCACTGGACGGTCGTTTCGTCTTATCATGGGACTTCTCAGCGGTACGCCTCCACGAACCCACCCCGCGAAACTGGCTTGAAGAGGTATTTCTTGGAGTTCGAATGAAAAGCAGTGACCAGTGGAGTTCAACCGGGTCTATTGTGAGATAGTAACTCTCTGATGACAATGGTGGACGACGGTGCAACTTTGTGGATTGGTTGGAGTTAGACATTAACACCGTTGAATGCCCGCCAGACCAGTGGTCTAGGGTTTAAGCGTTCACATGCGAGACTGATATGTCCTCGCGAGGCAGGATCGTGGACGCACACTGTTGAGGAGTTCCACAATTGGATGAGATGGCCGTCCAGTGTTTCCAGGTTTTTCATGGTGGTCTAGCTTCAGTTGGCTCATGAATTCAATTATAAAATTACTAAAATCTCCACAAAACCCCTTCTGATAATAATTTCTAATCCTTGAATATTTCATTCGAAACATGGCAAATGATGTATATTTCAAATTCCCATGTCATCTAGGGTTCCTTTATGGATTGTAAAGTGAGTCTGTCAGTTTAGTTATTTCTTATAATAATTGATTTATGGAAGTTTTCTTAATGAACTAGATGATAAGTCACTTTTTAATGTGTAAGCTCCTCAATTTAAAACACTAGGCAATTACAGTGGCTAAAATAACAACGCAATAATTACGTTACATTGACTTGAAATCTGTAGGTTGCCGGATTAGCTTGAAATATTCCATTTATATTTGGATAAATCAAAATTTAGTGGTGTTTTAGGATCTTTTACCTTATTCGTTTATCTATTAATCTGCTATAATGACTTTAATATCTCAAATCTTGTCATGATTTGATTTTTTACTGTATGTTATTTAATAATGATATATCTGAACCTTTACTAGGAAGCGTAAAAAAGTTTGTTGTCAGAAAACACCTGAACCAAGTTTCTGATATTTTTCAATCGTTGGCAAGGAATATTTTTATTCTTGAGCGAACGGGTGTTTCTTATGGGATTCAAATCAGTTTCATCCAACTTCATGGTCTGAGATGTTACCACTTTGTTATCCGTGCCTCAAGTTACCTGTAGGATATCGGGTCATTTAGATTAATGTTGAAATTTCAGACTGATCCACAGAATTCGATCAAGAATAAAGGGCTAAACAAGCATAATAATTGTCACTACTCAGTGATCTGCAAATGTACGTGTAACACGTTTTTGCTTTTAATGCTTGTATACTGTTGTTTGTATTATTATGTCAAAATTCTTGTTAAAACATGGTAGTCAGTTATCCCCTATTTTTATGTCAATTACATCAAAATATAGAACTTTTGTCGCTTGATTTCTCTTTTGTAACTCAATTTTTTTTATCAGATTATCATCTTAAAAAATTAAACTCAATACTAATCCGTTTCATCCCAAGGATTGTAGAATGTCAGCTTCAATTCTTTAAATTGTATTTTAATAATTGACATATGGTTAGATACAAGATCAAAAGTATAACCTTCATAATTTGAGGGAAACTCTAAGATATAAAGAAATGCTAACATCTAATAGACCTATAGCATCAGTGATCTATAACTGTGATTGTTGACTTACCTGATATTTTGGAAGAAAGCCGCACAGTTACGTTGAGAAAGTATTTTACCAACCTATTCATATAATTTACTTGTATTGCTACACATTCGCATGCACTTGTGAATATAATTAGATAGTTTAAATAGATTTAAGGCTTCAGAAGATCTTGAAAATTTTCAAAAATCTAAGTAAGAAATGAGGCAAAGTTGGTGACAGTGAAATATATAGATATGAGAAACTCATATGACTCTATTTTTGTCTCATATTGGAATTACTGATAAAAAAGACATCAAATAACCACTAATTTGAATTAGATCACAAACTGCATCGTGTACTTTCATTTACATGTGCAGCTGATTTATACATTTTATAATATGTTCAATCTGATATAAGTAGTCTATGATAGCTAGAATATGTGGAAATACGCGTTTTTGTTGTAGACAGTGTATAGTACTTGCATTGATTTTGAAATGTCCTCTAAACTGACTGTTTATTACGAATTGTTTTCCATTATTTGTTTTAATCAGCCCCCTATACTACATAACCGAGTAAGTTTACTGTTTTATTCCTCAGTTTCATAATTATTTCTTTAACCAAATAAACCAGATGATCATTTCATTCAATCTTACAATTTAGGAGTTGTTTTTCATAGACGTTTCATTGATTCATAAAGTTGATTATATTCTTCTTATTACTTTGAAGTGATCTAAAAACCTAGATTTTTATTATTAATATCACTAATAGGAAAACGAGACACTTTTAAAATAAAAATCTAGGTGATTTAGAAGTACTGTCATTAAGTCCATCTACATAAATTAATTAACAGATGGAGATCTCAATTCGAGAATATAGAGTGATCGATTAGAAAAATTTCACTTTAGAAATATACATAGACAAAACAGTGCGTATAATTTATCAATTCTTTTGAGATGATGGAGAAGAGTTTGCAGCTCAAGTGGATGATTTTTATGGAGTTTTGTTCACTGAAATGGATGGTTTGGTCGTGGAGCTTTCATCGTTATTCTGAATATCATCAACACAAACTTCAGGTAGAATTGAAGTGTTCGAATTTCTCCATCCAATTCACAACCAATCAGAAAAATTATGGACAAATATGTGACCAAAAATCAAATAAATCGGAGATACAACCAAAATAAAGAAGTAAACAATGACAGGTTAAGTGTTAACGATAACCAATCAAGATCGAGGTCTACAGGACAAGCTATGAGCCATATGTGAAGAAATTCGAACACTTCACTTCTAACTCAAGTTTGTAGTTCATAATAATGATGAAAGCTGCACAACCAAACCATCCAGCTCAGAGAATAAAACTCGATCAAAATCATGAATGCTTTATCTCTCCACTTGAAAGAAAATGTTTTAATGAGACTTCAAAATAATAATGAATATCTATACCCTCCAAAAATATTAATGTAAACAATCAAAAGTATAATAATAATTTAACTGAACCTGGATACCAATAAAGAATAGAAAGATTGTTTCAAATTTAAGCAGCAAAACATTATGCATATACAACAACTAATGTCATCAGTAAGCATTTGTTTGTAAGCCCAAGTTGGCAAATACTTTCCTAACAGAAATAACTATTTGTACATCTGCATATCACGTCGTTCATCTAGTTATTTGCTTATGATGATTTGTTACACGAGGATTCATATGATCTATCTAGACTACAAACTTGAATTGCATTTATCCTCAAAATGTCCATGTGAGCATTGGATTTAACAAATAGCAACTATCCCAAGGAAAAGTAAATCTTTATAGGTTTTGATTTCATTTTTATAGTGTTTGAGTTTTAATTGTTATGAGTTATATCAAATGAAATTTCTTAATTCATTTAATACACCCTAAATAATAATTCAAGAATATATGATATCTATTTATAACTGGCATTTCTACTATAGGAAGTTCATACAAATTCTGGCATGTAAGTTTTGACTTGAATGTTTTGTTACGTAATACTCTGTAATATCTATAAAATGAATACGTTGATATTTGTCTTTAAACTATCCATTAATCTGCGTTAATTTAGATCTAACAAAAAAACTTACATAACATTCAGACTATTAGGATGTCTTTCTTAAAATTAATGATGAGGCAGCTTGATTTCTAAAGCTACCTAGATAAATGCTATACATATTGAAATAGTTGATCCATCAATCGTTCATTATGTATTAAGTTCACTGAAAATTAAATTAACAACAGAATAAATTGAAATTTCTTTATTCTACTGATTTAACATCACAATCTCTCAAAACAATTATTAAATAGGATCTGAATCTTATTTTTAATACCGACAAGGTGTCATTATAACTACTCAATCATGAATGGTAATATTTTTACTCATACACATTCTCAGAGAGTAACCAGACATTTATTCCTAATTATTTCTATAGATTGAGCTGCCTTATATCAAATTATAATATGGAGGATCATTAACCTTACAAAATTTATGTTAATGTTAATTCATGTATTTAAGTCACATTGTTTACTATAATTTCCAGATAGTTTAGATTGATTTATTTACTTCTACGGCTACTCAATGAAATCAAGAATTTAGAATATTAAAATACCAGCATTGGTTTTGTGGAGATTTAAGTCATTTCAATAGTTAGAATCGTGAGTCAAATGAAGCTAGACCACTATGGAAAACATGGAAGCACTGGGCGGCCGTTTTGTCCCACTATGGGACTCCTCAGCAGTGCGCATTCACGATCCCATCCCCCTCGAGATTCAAACCCAGGATCTGTCGGTATTGCACGCGAGCGCTTAACCACTAGACCCCTGAGCCGGCATCCATCCATCAAATTCTGTCAAATTCTCTAAAGAAACCATTCAAAAAAGTGCAACTGAGAAGACGGGACAAATGTTAACCAAGGAAGATGAAGGATTAATCTGTTACCACTTATGACTTCTGTGAAAATCTCAGACTATTGAATTCCCCTACATAGAGACTATACAGACTCCTGATAGTTCATGAGAAGAATGTCTCCCTACGTTCTATACCTGATATGAATAGCTCTCCGTATCATTTGATTGCTAAATGGTTAGTTGAAATTTTAAAATCCGTTAGAAGTCACATAAATAGATTTCTTTGACTTTGTCGACTCAATGCAAATGGTTACAAAATGATCTCATTGGATGTCAATCCTCCCTTTACAAATGTTCGACACACAAAAACTATATGTTTTTTATGTGACTATATCGAACATAACAAATTTGATATTTATATCCTGAAACATTATCTAAAAGAGCTATTTCTACGATGTACCCTCAATGTTTAGCTCAAATTTAATAATGATTCTTATTGACAAACTGACTGAGTTGAAATGGGTTCACTACTGCCCCCCTTGGTTGATTGTTTCATGGCTAATCTAGAAAATACGGTACTTTGACAAATAATTGAAAGATTTCATTTATATAAGAGATATATGGATGATACATAGTCTTACAACAAACCCGGTTCAACTCCATTGGTCACTGCTTCTCACTAGAACTCTTGAAATCGTGGATTCACAGCACTGAGGAGTCCCATACGAAGGAGGAATCGGCTGTCCAGTGCTTCCAAGTTTTCCATGATAGTCTAGCTTCAATTAACTATTAAATTACTATAATATCCACAAAAACCCTTCTCTGATGCTATGAATTAATAATTTAATTAATCTTTTGTAAGTAAAAAAATTTCTATTAAATGCGATCAAAACAAACTTAATTTAGTTATTTTTTTATTTTTTATTTTAATAGTTTTACTACAAGACGATAATGTTGTAGAACTTCAAATGCCAACATACTATTACGATACATCAATATGAGAGTGCGTCTTCGTTGCAGTATACTTAATTCAACTCGTAACTAAAAACTTAAATAATTGGCATAACATAATTTTAGTTTTAACATTTGCATAAAATTATAAATAAAAAAACAACGTAACATACAAAATATTGTATTCTGTATTTTCGACAATAATAAATTATCAGAAGGGGTTTTGTGGAGATTTTAGAAATTTCAATAGTTGAAATCATGAGTTAATTGAAGCTAGACCATCATGAAAAACCTGGAAATACCGGACGGCCATTTCACCCTATTGTGGGAGGTTTTAGCAGTGCGCATCCAAGATCCCGTTGGATGCCGACTCAGTGGTCTAATGGTTAAGGGCTCACGCGCGAGACCGATAGTTCCTGGGTTTGAATCTCGAGGGGGCGGAATCGTTTATGCACACTGTTGAGGAGTCCCATACTAGGACAAAACAGCCGTCTAGTGCTTCTAGGTTTTCCATAGTGGTCTAGCTTCATGTGACTCATAATTTTAACTATTGAAATAATGAATTAGATTGATATAAGTGAAATGAGGTATGAATCTAAGATATTTTTTGTATTCTTAAACGCTTAAGCATTCTTATTCCACTTTTCGTCTAATCAGTATATGGTCAAAATAAACATACACATACAAACACGAAAATATACAAGGTGTCTTATTTAAATACCTAGTAAAATATGTATAGGTAAACATATGCAGTAGCACATAATTTAAAGAAAGCAGAAAGTTAATAGTAATTTAATCCACAAATAACCAACTAATATGTACAATCATCAAGGGTAGTGTTAAATATTCAACTGTGCACGAAATATTCCTACCACAAATAAAATTTTAAAAAAAAAGATTTTTATGTAGTTCCTTTTATTGGTGTGTTAGATTATACTTTGATTTTCACTATTTAATTTAATCTATTACGAGTATTCTATTTTAATATTTGAAATCATGAATCACTTGAAGCTAGACCACCATCGAAAACATGGGAGCACTGGACGGCCGGGATCGTGAATGCGCACTGTTGAGGAGTCTCGCAATAGGATGAAACGGCCGTCTAGTGCTTCTAGGTTTCCCAATTGACTCATGATCTCATTTATTGAAATTACTATGATATCCACAAAACCCCTTTTGACAGTATTCTGTTTTAGTTTGATTATGAGTATCTTTCTAAATAGAATGAGAGTTCTATTAACTATCAACCTTTATATATCATACATTTTTAGATAACTAATTTCAAATTAAATGAATGCACATTTCAACTTGAAGTTTTCCAATGTTACTATTTCTTTAGAATGATGTGTAGAATGCTAAAAGATTGTAAACGTCATTTAGACCTAAATTCTTAAAGTTACACTTCCGTCTTATCTAGATCCTTTATTATCTTTTCCTGGTTCTCACGATACTGATGGTGAAATCAAGACACTAGCTACCGCTCACTAAAGATTTCGACTATTCCAGTACTAAAAGATCTTAAAGTAAAATAGGATTGATATGGAGGGCAAATTAGAAGTAGTCTAATGAAATTGTCAGTCGATGGCAGTCAGATGTGACCCGAAGGTTAAGTGTATTTAACTGTGGTCAGTAAGTTAATTTCCTAAGGATAGAGTGTTATATATATGAATAAGTATTTGTACATTTCATTTAATAGGCCAGTACACTTCCTTGCTCACTCTTGTGTTCCCGCCCAAGTGGTCAGTTGGTGGTGGTGGGGGGGGGGTTAGCGCACAACATACTGTGTATATTATCAGATTTTCAGACAACGCATATCACAACAGGAACCAATCCTCAAAGATATAATAATTAATAAATTCATAATAATACAATGGATTCCCTTTACAATCATAAACAATGGAATAACAGCAATATTTACAGGATATGATTTATTGTATTAATTATTCTTACTTTATTTAAATTAATATAATATATATATATATTGTAGGGAAGAGCTGAATAAAGTCAAGAAAATGACTGTTAGGTTTTTTGAACTAAATTCGAAAATAAACGGCTCATATCTTATTTCATGTAGGACGAGGAGTACAATTACCCTTGTACAGTAATTAAAATGTTAAAAATCAAAACGAAAAACTACGTTTTTTGATATCATGTGAACGTGTCGAATACTCAATTTTTACTGTGTAGCGTGCATATAACTCACAGAAAGACCCTGCTCCTAAAGCCATAAACCCTTGAACGTGACCCAAACCTTAAGTCTATAAACCTCATTGGCTAAAACGTCGATACGTTTATTTTAGTTTGTCTATATACTATACTCCTATATCAATTAGTTTGAATTAAGATTCTGCATCAATAATTATACATACTTCACAAATAAATATTAAACACATTATTACAATCCATAAAATGTTATGTAAACAAAATTCATTTAAACTTCTCATACGTACAATCACATCCGAATGATTACATTTGATTGAAATAAAGTCACTTAGTCGAACAAATTCAGGATATCAATCCATTTGAAACCTCAACTACACTATTGACTGACTGTAATAGAATAATGAAATTCTCGACATAAATTTATTATTCAAATGTGCCTGTTGAGTCCAGAATACTGGATTTATATACAAACAAAACAGATCACATAGTACCTTATAATACAAAATAACATCTGTACAAGATCTAGCCAAAAATGGGCTGTGAATGTGAGAGACTGTAATTAATAGACAGTAGAACTCAAGAACGGTAAATGGTATAATAATAGTCGATGAGTTAAAATAAAGCTTATAATGATAGGAATATGAATATGCATAGTTTAGCTACGTAACAATATATATGTATCGTATTGGTTCATAAATATTTCTCAAAAGCGACCATTCATGATTCTCGTCGGGATATAATATTTAGAAATGAAATATTAATGTTCTAGTTACATAATCCTCAGAAATAAAATTAACTAAGTATAGATCAGATAAGAAGTAAAGATTAATAAATAGAATTGTGTAACAAACGTTTATGAATATGATGTCACCAAGGTAAAGGAAGACTGATAGCTGAATTCTTTTGGATACATTAACTTAGTTGATGGCTGATAAGAAACCACAAAATATAATAAATTCGTGTTATTCGATTATGTTTATTGTCCTTGCGTTAATCCTAGTAAAGCAGACAAGAAACCTACATCTGATTGAAAATTATACCGTTATTATTATTATAGCTTCAGTTAAGTAACAAACTTTGAATTTATTAATTCTATCTAAAAAGAAATAGATCATAGTAACAAAAACTTAAACTCTGATTTACCAAAATTTTATTTAAATTTACATATATGCAAGGTTACTCTAATAATTGAATGATATTTTTGATTCATTGATTCATATCATAAACTCTTGTAGGATCCTTTATTTTATCGTCTTTTAGATCGGACGATGTTGTTGATGGATTCATCTTTTTAGTGGTTCGGGATCTGACTCCAATTAGGTCATAGGAATGTTCATTAATACGTGATTGCTGCCGAAATATATATGTTGCCTACCCTCGTATACTTCATGGACTTAAATCGCGTTAGCCAATAACGGAATTAAATAAGTCAAAATACGAGAATGAATTTCGGATGCGTATATTTCATACAACCGTAGATCCAGATAAAGTTTAGGGGAAGCAAAGAAAAGAGAATGAAGCAAAATAACGCGCGATGGAGAAGGCGTGTGAGTCAACTCCGTTTAATCAAGCGTTAATCAATATTTATAGTCACACAAAAATATACTACAGACGTGATGAATAAGATAAGAAGTGTACACACTTGTATGCGAACATATAAAAACAGTCAAGGTTGATAAGCGAATAATTAACAAGGTCAAAATATGACTCAAGTAAAATGAATAGATTGACATATCAGAAAGCGAGAATAAGGTATATGGGCTTTACATAATAACCGATACTCCAAATTATGTCTGATATTTAATTATGATTGCTCATAAACTTTCTCAAAATACTATGATCATTTCTTTAATGTCTAACTAATTTCATTTTATCGGATTTCAATGATTAACAAATTCTATGGATCTATTTAACAATTTAGTAGCATTAGGATTGTCTCTGTCTGAGATGTTGATAGCTGTTGGATAGAATCTATGAAAAACTGTGTTTCTTTGATAAATTTAGCAAATGTTACCTATCTAATGAATTTGAACTCTCTTATATTGTTTATATTTATTTACATTAACAATTCATAACTCATTGCTGAATAAGCTTGAGTTTCTTTAGCGCTTATTACTATTCAATAGCAAACAATTATTTGGATAACATACTCTCTGAAATAAACGGATTTAAAAATGATTTTAGTGAAATTTCGACTGAGTTGAGGCTCTATAAAGGAGGTGAAGAACACGAATGTGAAAAGCCGAGGACCATTTGCCTACTGAGAATAATAAATATTGTTTTCAAAAAATTTTAGCCGTCATTCTAATTAGTTGTTGGATGATTTAATAAAAAGGAATTTATTAGATATATGAAAAAGGAAAATTTAAGATATATATTAAATAAGTTATGATTAGATTACCTCCTAACATTTTGTATCATACTACGCATCTAATTAGATAGGGTATCAGAAATAGTTGGATCCATGGTGTCTCTTCAATTTATTATTATGTTTGTAAAATAACACAAAGATCATCAAAATTGACCTACTGCTGAGTGGTGACTAATTTCGTGTTTATGTAATCTTTTTAGTACTGATCAAATTGTAATAAATCCTTCAGTATAAGTCACTTGACACTGTGTTCACTAATTTAAGATGTTAGGTGGCTGAAGGCGGTTTACAGAAAATCACAGACTCATGTTTCGTGGTATTTGGAACTCGTCATCAGTGTGTGCCTGTAATCTCGAGGAGTCTGGTTGTCCATGAAGGATTCAATCCCACATTACCCATATTCGTAGTGTGAGATGTGATATGGGGCCTAGTCAACTAAGGCACATCAATTCCCTCAAGATTACAATCTCGTCTTGGTAAAAGTTCTTAAACAGCTGGATACCTAGGTCCAACAATGTAACATAACATTGATACTTAATTTTGGGTTTATTGAATAAGCTTCCATCTTAATAGTAATTACATTAAAATTAGTTTGACATATAAACTATACTAAAC